AATTATATATATATATATATAAAGAGATCTTCGGAGTTTAATCTAAAATCTGGAATATATAAAGCTGAGCCCTTCAATGTTTATGTTGATCCTAGAAAGCACATTCTGCTAGGTAGATTTCTTAACTAGTATCTTGGTTATATCCGGATGCGACAGGAATAAATAAAAGGAAATTATTCTTTGGCATCAATGAAATTAAATGTGTATATATATATATATATATATATATATTATCATGTTCTGGGCAAAATGTTTTGGCAAAACACTATATATATAGGCCAAACTTGAGATTTGGAAAAAGAAAAAAAAGGAAAGGAAAGGAAAGGAAACATGATATTGTGCCTTATTAACAATATTCTTCTTTATAAAAATGATATTGATATTTTACCTCTCTTTTTTTTTGGTATATTACGCATCCAGTATTCGAAATCATTACTCCGACTAATCGATATTCGAGTCGGGTAGATCCATTTCGGGAAGGAAAACTCTCCCAATAAGATATTCTACCTCTTTGATCGTTGATAATAATATTCTTACAAAACAAGCATCTGGTAATTCGGGATAAATCTACCGATAGCTAAATCAATAAGGGTTATGGAGAATAAAGTATGCGTAATTGTGTTATTGAAAGCCTATAAATTGATCCCCACTTCAAAAAAAGAAAATCAAGTCACCCCTTTCCATGTCCGAATGAGGTTAATAGTCTTGCCTGACTTACGCTCTGTTTGATAATCACTTAATGTAGTGACTTAATTTATTTAAGTACTTAATAAAATTAAGTGTATTTGATAATCGCTATTAAAAAGTATTAATAAATTAAGTTCTGAACTAATTAAGTACTTATAAATTAAGTTTATTTGATAACTAAAATTTCACTATCTGAATTAATTAAGTGCGTCTGAATGTCCAATTCATTTGTGAACCAGAAAATAAGTGATAGGCCTACCACTTATCACTTATCACTTAATTTTTGTAATGACTCTTTTTTTTTTCTTTTTTCTTTTTTTCTTTTTTTTCTTCGTCTTTATTTCGACGCTTATTTTTACATTATTTTAAAATTTTTATTTTCTTAAGATGAATTAATTAAGAGTGCTTAAAGTTGAATTTATATTATGAGTATAAAAGATATCAAACTTTCAAACTCAAATTAAACTAATTTTAATACATGAAATTTGCTAAATAACAAGGTGTATATATATATATATATGTGTGTGTGTGTAATAATCTAAATTTAATTATATAGTGATTATTTACCAAGTGTAATATCTACTTTCATTATATATACCAAAAACTTATTTTAAAATTATGATTATATTATTTAGAACAAAATATTAGTTATTTTTCTGTTTAAAAGAATTTTGTTCATAATTCAATTTTAATGATATTAAAATTTTAAATAACTTTCAAACCTGAGTATTCAGATTCAATCTTCAGACTTCAGTATTCAGACATCAAATTCAGACGTTTTTATCAAACAATATAAATTCAGTCTTCAAACTTCAGACTTCAGTGTTAAGTGTTAAGTGTTCAGATTCAGACTTTAGTGATTATCAAACGGAGCCTTAGAATCGTAGGTAGTTATTGGATACCTATTTCTTTAAGTTTGTAACAAAGTGACTGATGGGTTTCTTAGTCAATGAAAGTCCCTAATCTTGAGAATATAAATTCGAAAAATGCAGGCGACGGAATTACAATATACTCTGGACTTTGGTTATGATGCTATATATTTACACTTTCCGTTTTTAAAAAGAAAAAAAAATAATAAAAGTCCACCTCATATGATCCCTGAAATCGAATATCATCATTGAGTAGAGATCCTGTTCCCAATCAATTTATTCTGCTACTTCTAGACAAGTTCATTCACATAAATAAGCATTCCTACGTCTTAAAGAAACTCCCTGGCAACCCTGAAACGCAAACATCCGGGCACAAAATTGAGCAGAACCAAAATGAAATTCCATCTTCGATTTTCCATGTTGGCCTTTTTCGGTTGCGATAAGATGTATGTGTTGTTCTTAATCTTCTTTCTTGCCTTTCTTCCAGCCAGAACCTTGTCCGTTTCGACATACCAAAAAAATATGGTCAGCAGAAAACTCGACAATGATACCATGAACCAATTCATTAGTAGTATTACTAATGATGATGATGCAAAAATTCATGCAACCACGCACTACTCTTTTTTTCCAAACATGCCCAGGTGGAACCGAACATCTCCCATAAAACTAAACTACACTTTCTTACTGAACCGCATGATTCAGAACTTGAGTCTAGCAGATATTAGGTTAGTATTCCAACGGTCGTTTGGGCGTTGGGCCGCGGTGATTCCCATGACATTCGTAGAGACAAATGATTCAAACCTTGCGGACATCAGGATTGGATTCTATGTCGGAGATCATGCTGACGGAAATCCATTCGATGGGCTGCTGGGAGTTAGAGCCCACTCTTTTGCGCCAGAAATTGGGTCAATCCATCTCGACGGAGGTGAACGGTGGGTGGTGGAACCAGATAAACTAAAACTTCCATTCACTACCGATCTAGAAACAGTGGCAATGCATGAGATTGGTCACATACTAGGGTTGGACCATTCTAAAGTTAGATCGGCTGTCATGTATCCAAGTGTTGAACCTCATTACCGAAAGGTGGATCTCTCTAAGGATGACGTGGATGGGATACAACAATTATACGGGGTAAACCCAAATTTTAAACCGACTTCAAGTTGGAGTACTCGTATGGAGACGACAAGGAGTTTTGGTTGGAGCATGCTTTCTGGTTTGATGGTTCTCTTTTTTAATTGATTGAGAGATCACAACAGGATCAATTTTCTCCATAGGAAATATTGCACTTGCAAATTTTGTTTTCCGCGGCTTATCTTGTGATGATGCTTTGACGTGTGGTTTCTTTTTTGGCTTCTTATGTGATCATAATGTTAAATTAAAAAAAAAAATCAAGTTCTTTAAAAATTATCATGCACATGATCAGGGTTTGACCATTTTTTTTCGTTCATTTAAAAAACTAGTATATTGTTATTTTGCTCATTGTCTTATAGCTTCGGGGTTTTTTTTTTTTTTAAATGATAGCATATACTATTGATTTATTTTACTATTTTGAATCTTTTTTTAACATGGATCGATATTAGGGTTTGATGAGCTGCGCTGGGTTACCACTACTTGGAGTCCATTGTGCTATTGATATACCATCGGCTTCTACTATCAGATTTTATTTTTTTTTATTTTTTTTTTTTTGTAAAAGTACTATCAGATTTGATTAGGAGAGAATGCGATTTTCTATGGAAATTGGGTTTTGTTTACTAGCTTCAGAACTAAAAATCTACAAATCAATGTCGAAAGGTGACCTTAATTAGTGATCCTAATGTGCTTCTCATGTGATGGGGGTGGAAGCTTTGAAATCGTATGACATTTTCTTGCATACAAGCTAGCTAGCACATGGCAGTTGCTGCAAAAAGCCTAAAAATGTTACAAATATTGTAGCTCGATTTGATTGTAAAACTTACAGCAGCGATCTATGTATACATTGACTTTCATATTGTACTTAGATGATAAAATGTCTTCCTATTTAATTGGTAATGTTGGTTATATCTGGAATTTTTCATGGAATAGAATCCTTGTTCTCTTCTGTCTTGGCTAGATTTAACTGTTTTTCATATAACTCTTGTACAATTTGTATATTTTGATCTGTTTTTTTTTTAATAAAATTTGAACAATAAAAAAAATCTATATATACGTACATGCATCTTGTTGGTTATCCTATGATAGTCATGCATCTTGTTTGGTAAACAGCACAGTTGTTTACGCTCGAGGAACAATAAGGGAAAAAGCCAAATTCCTTTTGGCGTCCAAGATTTGCCGGACAGAATGCAAATTTGCAAGCATTTCCTGGCAAATGAATCTATTTGTCGCGCATTAGGTTTTACATTCGTCCACTTTATTTATGACGTTTTAAAATATTAACATTTTGTGACGGCTCTGTTGAGTTGAGGAAAAAATCGACACAAATGATAGACCTACCTAAATTGTAGTCTTTGGAACAAACTAGAAAAGGTACCTAAGACTGTACTAGTAACAAAGTAGTGTAAACAATTGATGATTTTGTGAAACTATATACTATATACACAAATAATAAGATTTAGTTGTTTTTTATATTACTCTTGTACAATTTGTATATTGATTTGTTTTTTTATAAAATTTGAACAAAAAAGAAAAATCTATATATGGTTACATTGCTGTATTTCCTGGTGATAGACCAGTTCTATTCCTACGAGGGATTGTAAGGAGGATTTTATCTACATTTAAGTGGGATCCACTGGAATAGATTTTAAAAACAAAAATCGATATATACATTGACTCACTAAGCCATAACATGAAAGGACCAAAGCTCCTATCCTCAGAGAAAGGGCACTAATTGATTTTTATCTTTAGTCTTATAGCATATGGGATAGATTTCAATATCCCAAGACAACAATTGGAAACCCAACTATATATATACTAGTTAACATTCTTCTTATGAAATATTTTTGGGGGAAACTAGTACAGCTACTCATAAGTTGCTATAATCTCTCTTCAAAACCCAGCGCGCGAAAACTCCTCAATTTCTCGTAGGCACTAGGCATAAAGAGAATTGCCGTCCAAGTCATCCCGTCTTATTTTATACTCCTTCCATACCAAAATTATTGTCCAATTTATCAATTAATTTACCAATGTTCAATTTGCATTAATTTTGGGACGGAAGGAGTGAGACACATATTAATATACCATTTCGTTTAAATTCTTGCATATTATAAATAGAACGGGAGAAAAAAGAGTACATGAATGATTAATGGTGGTAAAAAACACGGGAGTTTGTATTTTGTTAACTTTCTCGTCGAGTTTGCTAAGTCAACGAGAAAGTCGACACGAACGTTTTATGCATATGCCTGTCAGTCGTTTTCCGCCACGGATTGATGAATTTTTTATTTTTTTTATTTTTTTATTTTTTTTTGTTTTCCAATCTTTGGAAGAGGCACAGAACATCAGCACCATGGATTTATGAAGATGGACGCAGCTGAGCCCTTCAATGTTTATGTTGATCCATTGCTCTCTTGGAAAAATGTGAGAATGTCTATAACGATACGCAGTATTAATCACGAAAATTACAATACAAGGGCTCATCAAAAGTGTCAGGAAGAATGTCGTGAAATACTGGGTAATATAGCAGGTTTTTACTGTGATCATGGAGGAAGATCGTATCGAACTTGTCCAAGGTACAGTCCGCACGCAGGGGCCATTGGTTTTGCAGCAGCCACCGACTTTGCATTCAAAATCCGTTCCACTGATATTATACATGAAATTATTACAGTACGAAATTTGATCAAATTCACCCAAAAAAAAAAAAAAAAAACAAACAAACAAATGGTGGATGTATAATACCTACCATCATTTACTGTTATTTCTCCCGTGCCAACCGCTTTCAAAACACCAACCAGAAGCCTAACCTGCCAAAAAGCAATAGCTTTTAAAAGTGAGCCAGGTGCTTGAATTTCATAAAGGATTATTAATACAGTAATATATAGAGAACAATGCAGAGTATTAGATATCAACCTGATGGTAGAGGAAAGAACACGCACGTGCTGTAACCACAAAGCAACGATGATGTTTTCTCATACCAAATACTGGAGTAAGCTCACCATTAGAACTATTTATGCTTTCCTCATAACTTAAAGTTGAAGCATGTGGAACCTCAGGTCCCAGTTTGACACAGTTTCCTGATGATTCTCCATTATAAATGCTTTGTTCTCTCTCTTTAACAGAGGGGAAATGCATAGGGGAAGCAACCTCAGTAACATTCAGCTCATCCATTGTTCTGATCGGTGAATTTGCCTAATCATCATAAAACATGAGAATAAACAAATCTAATAGCAACTACTATTGTGATGTCTCACACTCGGTCTTGCATTTCTATGTTGAAAACACTTCCAAAACAAAATTTGTAAGCTAAATAATCTAACAAATTCCAACATGTATTGAAGAAAAGGTTGTTTCATCATTTTCTGTTTTGAGGATCAAATTGCACAGTCGCAGGGACAGAGGAGTAGTGTGCAGATATATGTAGCAAACTCAAAGCCAAAGCTAGTTCAAGGCCTTAAATTACAAACCTGACACCCAGCAGCTCTGAATGAGCTGAAGTCATGGCGTCCCACAAGAACTTGGCATGCCTTCTGGAAGAGAAGCAGGTTGGAAAAAGTGTTAGAAATGTAAACAGATGACGAAAAACAAGAATACTAATGTTCAATTAAATATCAAGTTTACCTGCATAGATAGAAGGTCTAATTTTTCTGTGACATGCCAAGCTCGGTCTTTCTCAAATGTTGTAAGAGGATCTGATCCAGATAATATCCGATAGAAGTACCTAAGAAATAAAAAAACAGCCATTTTTACTCGTAAATCATTGTGAAAACATATACAGTATGCATGACCATGAGTGAATGCATTATTTGAGATGGTATCAATGGCATGTGTGACCTAAAGAAGTACCAAAACAACCATTTTGCAGCAAAACTCATTGCAAAAACATATACTGTATGCTTGACCATGAAAAAATGCATTAGTTGACACGATATTAGTGGAATGTGTGACCTCCTTGAATGTATGTCCATGTTATGGCAGTAATCATTATCGCTACAAAGTAACAAGATTAAGATGGCAGAGAAAATAAAGGACGCATATTGATATCAATTCCAGTAAATTTTTCAAAATATACATCAACACAAAAAAGAAAAAAAAGGCTCAAGTAAAGTCTGACAGCAAAATGAAGAAATGGCTATAAGAACAGAGATAATAGGAAAGAAATCTGACATTATTTCCAATGATTTTTTAAATACTAAGAACGTCGAAGAATAGACAGCAAAATCCCCATACCCATGATCTACCTCGGTCCAAGATTGATTTAATACCACAATGTTTCAAGAAAACTGGAAAAAGTTAACAATAATCTGATAGTCAACCCTGCAGAAAATGTTCTATGCTATAAACACAACTGGATATGATGATACCTACGTTCGTTCTTTAGCTTTGTATCTAGAATGAAAATCTGATGGAACACATCGAACATCGATAACCATGACATCACCTTCATTCTTCTGCAGCAAAACAGAGAATAAAAATGTGTTATTATTCCCTAAAACAAAGTCTATTCAATGAAGCTTGGGCCTACGACATTCGAGTACTTTTAAGGATGACTTGAAACCAAAAGGACAACAAAAACAAGAGAACAGGAAGGAAATCATGATATGAGAATTAGCGTTATTCTAATACTATATCAGCGAAAGTATATCCACACCTGTAAGAAATGATTCACAGCCTTTTTGACCACAGCAGGTTCATGAGGAGGTAACTGCATTGCAAAAACAAGTTAATTGTGAACCTTACAACTCATCTTAAGGCATCCATACATTAAGGCTACTACGGAGAACAACATAAGCTTGTCACTAATGATTGAAACCGATAGGAAAAAAGGCAATATTAATTGAGCCATGGGCAATTTACCGTTTCGCCAGGTTTCCTTTTGCTTATCCTTTCAACATCTACATGGCAAACATTTGACAGCGCATGAACTCCTGAATCCTACAAATCAATCACATTCTACTTTTCACCCACCAGTCTCAGGGAACACCAAAAACAATAGCTAAAGAGACAAATTGAAATCTTACCGTTCGACTAGAGCAAAAGATTGAAACTGGTTGTCCAACAAATTTGCGGAAAGCTTCCTAAGAAAAAAAAAAAAAATTTGAAACAAAAGATCTTAAAACTGTTCCGAATCATGAAAAATTCAAAACAGAGGATGAAGCTTTACTTGGAGAACGCCGACTACAGTACGTTGATTGGATTGCTGCTGAGCTCCGGCGAAGCGTGTCCCTATATACTCAATTGCAATCAAGTACCTTTGAATTCCATGATTAGATCGATTCATTTGAGGCTCAGTAGAGATTATATCTGTTTCCTGAATTGCTTCTTGTTCCTCGTCCCTCTTCTCCTCCTCCTCCTCGTCAATGTGACATTCTTCCTGGTTGAGTTTCAGGATTTTGTGGGGCCGTTCGGAGGAAAGGTCTTCTGGCTTTTCGGGTGGAGAGTTATTTGGAGAGACGGACATACACAACGAAGACGGCGGTGATGATCGATCGCCGTTCATCGGAGTCCGGCGGTACGACCGGGATTTTTTCCGTTCTGAATTTGGGGGGTTTTAAGTGGAAGGGTTTTACTTTTTCCAGCAGTTCAGTTCAGTTAGGCACAAACGCGTTTAGGTAGTGAGTAAGTCGGTAGCGCTTATCAACTAAAAACGGGGATTTTGCTATGTTCGACAAACTGACAGATTTTAAATAAGAGTATCACATTTTCCTTTGTTAAACGGTTCATTTGTTACAAACATTTTGTTTAACCCATGTTACGAAAATGTTTAAATTAAGTACTCCCTCCGTTCCATAATTATTGTCCATTTTGCCCAAAAAATTTTGTCCCAAAATTATTGTCCAATTTGACTTTTATGGATCAAGTTACACATTTGTCCTTAGTAAAAAACATTATCCATAAAATCTTTGTGGTTAAACAATTACTTATGTAGGGGTATATCCGGTTGTCCAAGATAAACTATAGTTAAGTTTGACTAAAAATAAAATCTTTCATTTTAGTAAAACTGGACAATAATTATGGGACGGAGGGAGTATCTGGTTTTAAGAACCGATGGAGTAGTAGCTGCTTAAATAAAATGTGAAATTGAGATTTCTTTTATTTTTTAATAGAAATTGTGAATTATTGTACATACACACACACATATATATATATATATAAATTGTTAATTGTGAACGGATTTATGGTGAAAATATTACACTACCAAATTTGGAGACCCAATATCTTATTTCATGCAATAACATATGGAAAATTATGTCTTTGTGGAAATATTTCCCAATCATTACCATATTTAAATCTTCAATCATTTAATGCCAAAGGAAATTCTTGGAAACTAAGCAAACATCTTCTATAAAAAAAAAGAAGTATGTAACAAAAGCTCCTCCTATATATAATCTCTTCTATCTTCCTCCTCCTCCTCCTCCAACCGATTAAGGCAATCCAGGGTACAAACTTGAAAGGTAATTTCTTCCAACATTTAAAGCTTTTTTTCCTTGGAAAATTTTCTTTGCGTTTTTGTCAATCTTCTCAATTGCCCTATTAATGTATGTGTGGTGTACCCTTTTTTTCCCTCTTCTGTTTGAAATTATTATGGTTAAGATTTGTTTGTTGGGTTTTTATGTGTTAAACTTCCTTCCACATTGAGGTTTTTGCCTTCTATAAATTCTAGAAAACTCTAAAATAGATTATTTGATGGTTAATTTGATATGCTAATTTTTGTATATATATATATATATATATATGTGTATGTATGTTTTGGCAAGTGAAAACAGTAACAAAACATGATTACGGCTCTTATCTCTTTGATCTTACTTTTCGATTCCCTTTGATTCCTTATGCATATCAAATTCCGGGGGTTGGGGTTAATGTGAAGAGATAAAAGACTGGTTGCTCTAAATTGAATGCATGCATGCTTGGGAATTTAGAGGAAAGAAATTAAACCCGAATTGAACCGGTTATATGAATTTCCCCAGTTTTTGACCTTCCTCTTCATTTTTTTTTTTGTTTGGTTGTGTTCGTGGTTAATTTAGTGATCTCATTATGGGTCGTGCAAAGTTGGAGATGAAACTAATCGACAATGAAAAATCACGCCACTCAACATTCAAGAAAAGAAAGGAAGGTTTGTTGAGGAAGATGCATGAGTTCACTACACTTTGTGACGTAGATGCATGCATAATTATGTATCCTCCAAAGCAGCAAGAAAACTCCTCAGAAGAAGAAGCCGCCGCTCAGCAGGCAGAGATATGGCCTAATAATAATCCAGACGAAGTCTCCCGCTTGATAAACATATACAGAACGAATTCAAACGCTAGCCAGAAATTCACCTTGACCGATTTTTATCACTGCAGGAAGAAGAAGATCCGACAAGAACTCGAAAAGAAATGCAAGAAACGCATGGAGTTGGTGTACCCTACTCAAGTTGGCTCGACAACTCAATACTCAGAGACTCAATGGAGAGTTTTAGCCAACAATTTGGGCAACAAGCTTGATATAGTCAAGCGCAAGATTGCATCGATCAAGGAACCATTAATCACAACTCTTCATCTACAAAACAAGTTTCTTACCTTGGATGGTGAGTTATACCCTCAAGAATCGAAGCCACAAATGATCATGACGATGATTGAAAACAACTACAACGTCAGTGTAACAAGATCATTTATGCCGCGCGCAAAATTAGGTCAAAGAAACAGTACAGATGATGATCAGTTGGGTGTCTATACTTCTTCTTTTGTGAATTCCAATGACTATCATATTCCTCTCCCTCAGTTGTGCTACCGAGATCTTCACAATCATCAAATGTTGAATCATACCATTCCTGGATCGGCGGATTGTCAAGTTCAATATGCGTCATTCAAGCAAGAGATTCTGTATGCACCGCCAGGGGAGAATAATTATTTCCATTTTTCCAACAACGAACACAAGGGATAAGTATGGTGGGGTGTTTTTTTTTTTTTCCTCTAGTAACTTTTGTCTTAATTACCATGCAGTATGATTGTTTGAAGATACACAGTGATATTATATCGAAGTATACTAATTTGATTCATGCTTTTGTTTCGAAATCTAGTTTTAGTTTTAACCAAGTAAATCAATCTAGTTTTAGAGTACAAAATATATAAGTAATAAAAGATAGCTTATTGTTTATTCCTTATTTGCTTGATGAATTCAGTATTTCTAATTTAGATTAAATAATCAAAATTAAGCACTAATATATCAAACAGACCCTAGTCTGTATGGTTGGAAGACCTCTTTATTTTCTGCTTTTTTTGTGCGTATATCTATTTTTTTTTTTTTTTTTTTGGAAATAATGCATACATCTAGTTATTTAGCAGAATAGGGTGACAGAAGATAATTTCAGCCAACATTTTCCTTCAAATTTTTCAATCTCCTGTCAAAGTTCAAAGTACAATTTCGATATCTATGCAAAATTTGCCTAACAATGGATTTATGATGCAGCAGTTTAATATTCTTTTCGTCCTTAAAAAATCCTCCGCGGTTATATTGTTTTAATTAAACAAAATAAATTTATCTTTCAAGACGGAAAGAGTGCCATAGTTTGCAACAAAATCATCATGACCTAAAAACAAACTTCGTCCAAAACTAAGAACGGAAACGTCGACTGAAAAACAGGAGCCATATATAAATGAATTTTGGTCTGATGTTCCCCTTCTTACCAAGCTCCAATGCATTTGAAACCATGAAGTTTCTACTGCAAATATGTAGTTGAAACTGGATATATATTCAACTCAAAGATATATTGAGAGTTGAGGGATCCAAATACGACCAGTAATCGAATGATGATTTTACTTTACAACTGGGATTTGTTCAATCCACATAGACAATTTTCAACCAGTGGTTACAAATGAAAATTAACATATCAAATTTTGGGGTTTTCTTTATTGTTATTTATGAGATATACATAAAAGATAGTTCAAACCTTCTATTAAAAAACCCAAGCAAGCTTACGGAGTTCTTCTCTTCTTAATCCTTTATATAATCTCTTACCTTATAAATTGAAAAATACAATCAAGAGAGGTTCAATTGTGCTCAACATGAGCTCAGTTGAATATTTTTCAGCTCCGCAAAAAACACATAAGAGACCTCGAAACTATTCGCAAAGAAAACATTACTTCGAAAGAGACCAAGAAAATCACACGACAGGATGGGGGGAGAAAAAAAAGGACAAACTACCAACATAGGAATTTTCATTCTTCTCAAGCATTAGGGCTGAAAACTGAAAAAGGATAAAAAATAAAGGGGAAAAAGAAAAAGAAGAAGGCAATAGAGAAAGGACATAAAACAGATTCATATTTTCCCTAACCAGAGGGAGGAGGGTTCTATGCCCAAGAGTCCAAGACCAACCCAGCTAACCAAATCTTACACCAAAAAGAGGAAAAAACCGCCAAGCTACTATTTTCCTATAAAGGCTAGATTCAATACGATAACCCCCCAATAACCAAAAACTGCGCAAACCGTAATCCTGTAATAACTGCCTGAAAACTGCCTCTTGGAAGCACCTTTTAGTCTTCTACCTAATTCATGCGCTGATTGTAAGGTCTTTAGTCAGACTGACGAGTGATGGCATCAGATCTGCGCTGCCGTTAATTTTCAGAGCTTCTTCATTTACCCTCTCGCCTCCGTTGACATCAACCTGCAATTCAAAACCACCACAAATGAGTAAACCACTCAGCCATGTACTGAAGAAGGGATACAAAAGTAGCACATTGATTAGACTTTCTACAGAACTGATCTTATGGTTGACTACATAAGCTCAGTGTTTGCATCAAGAAGGCAACAAAAGCAACAGCAGAAAGGTAATGCTACACCCCCTCCAAGCTTATAACAAAGATTCTCCAGTATGACTCAGGAAAAAAAGAATTCATGTTGCCACACAAACATAGAAAATGGACAGAAGTCTCACCGAAATATCATCAGCCTTCACTACACCATTCTGAAGCGTGGGCTTTGAGATTCTTTTAGCTTTTAAAGTCTTCTCGCGATTTTCATAGAACAGGAAATCATCTAGCAACGTTGTCTTAGCAGAATAACTTTTGAAAATGTTAAGCATTTCTATCCCTTGCTTTAGTCCAACCTGAAAATAAGGCAAAACCAATCAGAATATTTGTCAGTATCACAGAAAAAGGAAACGAACAACACAAACCAAAATGTGGACAACAACAATTTTAAAAATGGCATCCCTTGAACAAAGACATCCTAGACAACAGAGCCCAAAAGCAAAACTATATCATTACATTGGCGAAATTATAAATTCATTGAGAACCCACGAATGAAAAGAGACATCACCTCCTGTGTATCTCTGCTGAAGGTAACAGGCCTATTTTCATTGTTTTCGAGAATAATATGTTTCAACAAATTATTCGGGAGGTCCTTAACAATATGCCACTTCAACGGAAAGAAACCATTCCACTTGTCAAGCTGCCAGAAGTCCATATTTTTGTTGAAATCCACCTGGCCAATCATCTCGGCTACACCTACGAATTGTCCGCTAGCATTCACCTGAAGACGAATAAAGGGTAAGTAGTGGCTACCCATCAAAACTAAACTCCAAGTTCAGAAATACATGTAATGGAGAATTTAATACACGGTGGAGGCACAATAAGTTTCAGTGCAAACCATATCCTAAAATAAACAATACCACAAACTTACAGAGAAGAAGAGGAATATTGGACACTTTGTGCCAGTTTCAGATGCTTTCGCCTCTGCCTCACGGAAAGCAGCATCAAGTTTCTTGTTTCCATTTGGAGTACTAGACCAGACATCGTATTTGACACATTTGTGAATATCATCTTCACTGTATGACTTGATCACGAAGAACTTGGCATTCCCATATTCGGTCTGAAAATCTTCCAAATTGTACTTATCCCGACGAGCAGCCAGCCCCAGTTGCTCATCCTCAGTGTATTCTTTCGAAGGGTCACTCTTACCAGATGTCCTAGGACCACGACTTAGCTCATTTAAACCTTCGTTTTCTCCATCTCGCCGAAAACTAGTTTTTGGCTTGAATCTCTGGTTGCTATTCCACATCCTACCCGGAGTTTGGTAGTGCATTGGACTGTAATGCATATAATTGTACACTCCTCGTTGGGGATTACCATATCCAGAGAACTTTCCAGCAGGGTAAAATCCATTAAAACTATCCATTGATTGGAACCCAGAACCTAGCTGGTATACAGAACATGCGTTAAGAATGGAATAATAGATGTTAACTGACATAAATTTGTGAATTTCAATCTCGCTGCAACCTACAGTTTAAGTGGCCAACTAATTCCAGCAAAGATGTGCAAAAGATGTAATTTATTGCAAAATTCCATGAAACACTAATAAAAGGATACTAATGATTGCAATTTTATGAACCCAAAAGCACGTAGCAAATTGCAAGGGAGACTATGTGCATTGCATCAATGTAAAGCTAAAAACAAATCATTTCAGCAGTGACCAAATTCAGAATGGTAGCAAGATTTCAGTCAAAAATTGAAGGAGTAATACGAACATACTTTGTTCAGTGGCTTGAGAGGTTTAGCCTGAGAATATGACTTTGAAAAATCAGATGAGACTGTAAATTTTCGAGCTTTTGAATTCAACGGCACAGTTGATGAGTTCATTGTCTTTGAAGAGTTAATAGTACTGGAGTTAACACCATTTCGGCTAAATGCAGATTTTACATCTTCGGTCTTGTTGACAGCCCTATTGTTCACATCTCCAGCATAAGTAGAATCCCATGATTGAGACTGCAGAGCATCAGATCCATAAGAAACTGGCTGCTGAAGATATCCTGAGGAGCAATAGGGGTTCTCTCCATCAGCGCCCATGTATCCAGTATTATAAGGATACCCGGGGAAATAGTAAAGATCAGTTGGGACAGCCTGAAACATATATTGAACAGTAATTAACATCAGTGTCAAAGCAAGTAACAGAAAAAATTAAGACAGTTCTGGGCAACCACTTACCCCGTATGAACCACCACCCATAGTTAGATAACCTTGATCATCCAATTGACTATAGGTTCCATTATACCCTGCAAAACATCCAAATGACTATAAAATGATTCCTCATCTTACAAGCAAGTACAAAAGAACAGCATCATCCTACCAGTCCCACCACAACCAGCCACCACACCACCCCACCACGCCCCACCCCACCCATCCCGTCACAAAGTTTCAACATATGTTAGATGTAAGATAAACATACATGCAAGAAATACTACACGACAAAAGCAATCATATCTCCAAGTTAGCAGCTAATGTTACCAGACCCAAATCCCAAAAGAAAAAAAACGGAAAAAAAATAGGAACTTCCAACAATAACCGAACCCTTTATCCAACCTGGGATGTAATAATTGTAACAGCTAGCAGGTGGGTGATAAACTCCTTGTTCTGCATCTGATTTCTTGTCTGTGTCTCCCTTAAGGCCAGATGCAGCATCCCCCAACAAAGGCAGAGGAGAAGTCGCATCTGAGGCTATGCCATCTTTTCTTGAAGCCTACAAAACAAAAACAAAAACAAATCAGAAATAAAATTACACAGTAATAGCTCAGGAAAAAGTAAACACTTGCGGATGATCATGCAATCTGATCATAGTTTGTTTTGACTTGGAACCAGCATAAACTTTGCAGACGAGTAAAAGTGCTATATAGTGCATGCCATAAAAGAGGAAGTAAAACTCAAATATTTAGAGAGAATGCACAACAAAATGCCTAGGTAACAAAAAAGAAAGAAAATGCAAACAGAAGCACTGCAAGTGCAATGCAAATAAATGGAGGCATAGCTCTGACAAAATGAAACATAGCTACGGCGAGGGAACAGTCCATCTATGTCCTAGCATGCATAGGGACATTCTACTACAATTATCCACTTTATAGTAGCATACAAGATATAACAAAAAATATAAAAGCCTAACATCATCCACGCATCAGTGTAGTCAACCACGTTAAATAAAGACATACCAAGAAACAATGAAAGAATCATTTCATGCTAAGAGCAATGCCAAAAGTGACTTCCAATATACACCAAAATCAGGCAACACAATCACATAAAGCTTACCATGTCCTTTTCAGATTTCAAGGCAGAGGCATCAGGCTTCAATACTTGAACAATTGGCTCAGCTTGGGAACAAGGTTAAGTGACAACCAGATGCTCTCAGGAACATAATCTTTTAAAGATGCATCTCATCAGGGCAAGAATAACTCAGCAAAAACTAAGCGAAAGAAATTTCAATTTTTGCAGAGAAAAGGAAAAGAATCCAAACTAAGAACCAAAAACCTTTGGAAAAGCCATATAAGTGAGGTTCATCATTTATGGTTCACATAGTTAAAAATGACTACTACATTATAGCACTCGCAAAATAAGTCAGCAAAAGGAACATTCAACACAGGTTCAAGCGTGTATAGATCATACTCAAATGCATATAAACAATTGGATTCAGGGAAAAACCACAAGTAAGCCTCCAGTTTATTTTAGATCATTAGAAGCTAAGGACTAAAAATCAATTAGGAATATGTACTTACCCAAAATCAACTGTAAGAAATTATGCAACAAAAATATAACAATAAGAAACTATGCAACAGATATAAGAACATACAACAGAAAAACGCAAACTCCAAGACTAAGCTACCAGTAAACAAACAGACTGGAATATAACAATCAGAAACACAAGATTTTCAAGTCTTCACAACAATTTCCATTCTCAGCTAAGGAATAAATCAGGCATCAGCATACTCTTTGTACAATACAGATTGAATCAAGGAAAGCTATTTTACATTATTCAGCAAAACATGTACATTTTACATAATGTAAATGAGGAGACAAACAAGTACAGTCTACAATAAAACACAGAAATATTCTCAGCCAAAAGATACAATTCTCAATTGTCCTCTCTCCTGCCATCTTCGATATTCAACACAAGGAACCAAACCTGAAATGGAAAAACAACCAAGAATAAGTACAAACAGAAGAATTAAACAACACGCAGAGTGACAGATAACAATTCCGTATTTTTAATCACAATAAGGGGTTTCTTTCAGCTAAAGGAAAAAACCTTCAAAAAAAACATAAATCAGAAGCAAGTCTTTAAAATTTCAAAAATTTCAAAAGAGAGTCAACATAAACAAACAAGGAAAAGATAAATTTCAGAAAACAAAGGAAAACTCTGAGATAGTTGCACATAAACACACCCAATCAAAAGGAGATTCCATTCCTCCCCAAGTGCGCAAAAAGATATTTCATGATTCTTTGTTCCTTATTATTAAAAAATAAAATCTACAGCATATATGTTATTAATATATTAAATAATGGATGAAAATGGCACGGTTTTAAAGAAGTAATACACCGTAAAACGAAAATGACAATCCAATAATCACAAGCCATGAAAAATAATAACAACATTAAAATGGTTTCTGAAATCAGGCATAGAAAGCGAAATGGATCTTTTTCATATCCGCCCTAAAAATAAGGAAAACACAAAAACAGCGAGTAAACAATCAAAGTAATACAGATATTTTGGGGCCAAAAAAGAAAATCGTTCAACTCCATTGAAATCCCATTTCAGATATTAAAAGAACAACGTCAAATGGACCAAAACCCGTGACCTAGAAGACTAAAACCTAACTTTTAATACAAACAAAATTCAGGTAAACGGTTTTTCGAAGCACACCAACAAGGAGACGAAGCAAAAATAGTACAGCCCAAAATTAAACGAAAACTAGAAGAAAGGCATACACGATGGAGGAAAAACAAAGAAAATTCGTTTTACTGCTAACTGGAGGGAAAAAGAGAGGGTTTAAGCGTTCAAAATCAACGTAGGGAAAACAAAAACCACATACATAAACGTTGGAAAAAGAAAAGCATACACAAAAGCTTCAGGGAACAAACATCAAAGCAGATCTAACCTAGAAAAGGGACCGAAAAGGGCGATAAAACAGAACTTGAATCGCAACCCTTAAACAAGGAGGCCGTGATCCAGTAGGATTTTCGAAGGTTTGGACAGGAGGTGATACGGAAAACCGCTTCGGGGGGATTAAAAAGCGGTTTCCCGGTGAAGAGAAGAGGCAAAAAGGGAGCTTGAAATTCGGAGTGTGAGAAGTATATAAGAACAGGGGGAGAATGGAGGCGCGGAGGATGTGTGCTGACACTGTGTGGACTAACCCTCGACTTTGTTGATCCAACGGCTAGGATTGGTTTCTTAATTTGGTAGAATAAATGAGGACCGTCCGATTACATCAAGGCAAATTAGGAATGACTTAGTATGGTGCATTTACTTTCTTGGACAAAATAGTAGTCAATTACAAAGTGTATATGAATATCCTCCTATTGGGTAGGAAAAATTATTAGTCATTATTACTGTGGATTTTACCTAATTGGAAAAATAGTAACATGAGATAGTGGCCTCTTTTTTGAGGGTAGATGAGATAATGGCTTTTGATGGAGGGAAGAAGAAGACTTTATAATCTTTTGGAAAAGATGCTTACAAAAACAAAAACCAAAAAAAAAAAAAAAGAGTTCATAGTGTTGATGTTAGATAGCTTACAAAAACAAAAAAGAGTTTATAATGTTGATGTTAGATAGTCAAATTTCAAAGTAATATAAGAATATTGTTTTTTAAAAACAATATTGTTAGTCATTAAATATATTCGTTTCATGTTGTGATATATAGTTAAAAATTTATAAATTAATATTGTTAGGACCCTAAAAAATTATTAATTTATAGATATATTAATTAATTTATCGATAAATTAATAATTAGTAATTAGTTAATAAAATTTTTAGGGACATTAGTTACTAAACTTTGACTAAGTATGAAAATAATTATGATTTTACAATAAATTTTCAAAATATTTTTTCGCAATACGAAAACTCTACACCAAAATATTTGAAAGCAATAAAAAAAATCAACGGTGAAATCTTCTCTTTAGATGTAAATTTCAAGAAAAACGCACGTTAGTAGATTAATATTTTACATTTCCTAACTTTTTTATTATTATTTCAAGTCATTATTAATTTATAATATTAATGGGGCCTATATTTATATAGGATTTTTTTGAAAAATTATTATAATATTATTTTATCGATTGTCTTCGTTTTTTGTACTGGTCCCGATTTGGGACCGAAAAAAATCATTGATTCATAGATGTTATTAATTTATAGATTATTAATTTATAGATGTTCTATTGTAGTTTCAATCGATTCAGAATTTTAAAACTATTTTTTTAAATTGGTTGTTATTGGCACATAATAGTGTTGGACGATGTTTTAACCAAATTGAGAGAAAGTATATTGCCATGAGGAAAATAAACATTAAATAAATGAAAAAAAAAAGTTTAGTTAGCGTCAATGTTAGATACCTCTAAATAAGATAATGTGTTGAGAAGATAAGGCTAACAACCACAAAGATATGAAGCCATATGTAGCCATGACTATAATAACATAATGAAAAGGCAATACAATGTCAATTCAATGTTTATTGTTATATAGTAGTACAATTTTTTATAGTCATCAACAACCACCTATAGACAAAGAAAAAAAAATTTAAGGCCCTGCCTGCCCAAAAAAAATAAAATAAATAAAAAACACAAACCCTTGCAGATGTTTAGGGTATGTTTGTTTCGTTTTTTTAATGTGTCTTTTGAGTGTTTTTTATATTGGGAACGTAAAAAGGTGTATTGAAAATGTAAAAATATATGATAGGATGAGACAATTATTAATATTAAATTATAAAAAAAACCAACAAAAAACGGAAACAAACAAAGCCTTACCTATTCACAGCTCGTTCATAAATCTTGTAGACAAACGAATCAGCGGCTCCTTGCAATGCAAATTCTTGACCTTTTTTTCGAAAAGAAATGCAAACTCTTGATATTGAGTTTGATTTAATTCTCTAACTGTTCTCTGGTTTTGTGTTGATCATATATAGTTATCAATACTATCGCTCAATAACGGTGTTATTCATGAGATTTTGTTATATTTTTTTAATGTAATTCTCATAACATCAAAAAAATAATACTCCCTCCGTACCATAATTATTATCCAGTTTGCCCAAAAAATTTTGTCCCAAAATTATTGTCCAATTTGACTTCGTATTGTACAAGTTACACATTTGTCTTTAGTAAAAAATATTATCCATAAAATCTTAGTGGTTAAACAATTACTTATGTAAGGGTATATCCGGTTGTTTAATGTAAAATATAGTTAAGTTTGACAAAAAATAAAATATTTCATTTTATAAAATTGGACAATAATTATGGGACGGAAAGAGTAATTAATATGATAGAAGAAAGACCGAATATCTCTATACGAGTATGATGAAATAAGATTTCGATACTCTAATGAATAGATATGCAATATATACAAAATATTGTTACATGATTGCAATTTTGCAATCAGAGTTTTACTTTTACCACAGAAAATCACTATTGACTATACATATATATAGGGAAAAATCATAATAACCACTTAATCTCTAACTATTTCTGTAGCCTCCAACCTCCAAAAATTTAACATATAAATAAACAACTATTATTACTAATTAATAACAAGGTTATTCCAAAATCAACCCATGTTAATAACAACCCATATTATGAAGAGAGATAAACAAACACTATAACGAAGACGACGCCAAAATGATAAAATGAAAAGCTCCAAAAAAAGGGGGTAAAACATCAAATTAAAAGATCTTGTCGAGGTTTTTGGCAGCTTTTATCTTTAAGATCAAGATTCTTTTGCTGCTGTTGGAACTGGAAATGGAAATTATTAACTGATGAGGACGAAGAAGGAGAAGATTGATTAAGGTAATCTGGGCCGGGCCGTGGGGAGACGGTGATCTTTTGACCTGGACGAGGGAATTCTGAGAGCATTTGGACTACTTCTCTCATTGTGGGCCGTTCGACGCTGTTTTCTTGAATGCAGAGCATGGCTATGAATAACAGGTGCATGGCTTCGTCTTTGGGTATTGGGCTGGTAGTCAGCCTTGGGTCTACTATTTTGCTTACTTCTTCTCTTCTGCAGTTTGTGACCTGTTTGGCCCACTGTACGATGTCGACGCCATCCCCGAACTCGCCCACCGGCCGCCGGCCGGTGATTAGCTCTAGTAACACCACCCCGTAGCTGTAAACGTCGCTCTTCTCATCCACTCTCAATGTGTAGGCATATTCTGCATTTCATGCGATCAGTTAGCTTTAAAGAAAAAAAATAAATAAATTACTACCTCTGCCCGATTTAAATTGTCATTTTCAGTGCTAAGAAAAAAATTTAGCATTCCTAAATAGAGAGAGTATGAAAATTTATCTACAAGATATTATAATGAATCAGTTTAAACTATTTTGAATAGCACAAACAAAAACAATAATTTAGTGGCTATTGTACTATGAACAAATAGAGATAGTGACTTAGTCAGTTTGACACCAATGAATGGAAATAATAAACAATCTACATTAATCTATACTAACATATCCATAACGAGTGTTTTGGTATAAGTTAAAAATTAAAATTCATTAGGTTAATAAAATAATTGTATATCAAACAATTAACATTATAATAGCATGGAGAAATGTGGGGGGACGACAAAATTTGGTTGGTCCAAAATGCAGGGTTAGTGTGCATAAAACGATGTGAGCTTTCACAACGTACGACGCTGATTTACATTTGCTTTTGGATAGAGACACCTTCCTGACCTCTGTCTGCGGCAGGTCCTGCCCTCTGTGTGTGTGTGTGTGTGTAACTGACTCAGATTGACTGCTTTGATTCGGCCCATCCAAAAAATAACATAAAATTATTGAAAAAACCTTAGTGGACCCTATGCTTAACGAACTGGATGGGCACAGAAATGCAGATTTAATAAGTGGTCTCCCCCTAAATAAAACTTAAAAAAAAAACAAAAAAAACAAAAACAAAAGTTCCCGGTCCAACCTTAATCTGACTCATCTTTGATTCCGATATTACGTTTACCCAAAACATTCTCCTCCGAATCTAATTACGCAATTTTACAATTATTATTCTGACTATCTGCAACGGGGGAGACACCAACTTTTTTATACACTAGTGCTATTTTTTTTACTTTTAAAATTTTAGGGTACGTTTGTTTCGTTTTCTTAGTGTGTGTTTTTAGATATTTTTTGTATTGAGAATGTAAAAAGGTGTATTGGAATTGTAAAAGAACATGTGCGATGGGATAATTAATAATAAAATAATATAAAATAAACTAAAAAAAAAAAGAAACAAACAAAGCCTTAATTTTAGCCAAACGCCAACTTGTATTGGGTAATAATGTGGGTGCACCTTTCTTGGTACGATTATCTTCAAATCTTCGCTTTAATATTTACAGAATTTCTAAGTCTAGCTCACATTTTGTGTGAGGTTGATGTTTTTTCCTTTGTCTAACACGGTATGATTCACAAAGATAAACTTATAATTTGATCAAGATCGTTAATAGTGTTTTTTTTTTAATAACTTTTGACTATCTTAAAAAATGAATGATACCTTCCTTGAAAAGAGAAGATCAACTACTCTTATATATAACTCGTCTTTTTTCTTTTTTTTTTTCACTAGTAAAAAGATATTGTAATTTTATGAAAATTATAACGTATAATAATTTTTAATTATTCTCCATGCATTTCTTAGGGGCTTTCAAGTGTGCTAAGTCGCATTTCAGATTATACTTATGAAGATGGTGAAAGGGCCATCTCCATGATGGTCATATGTGACAAATGAAAATGACTACCAAATGAGCAAAGTAAAAGAATAAAACTTAGAATGAGAAGGAATACTACTAATTTGGAAAGTACGATGAAATACCTGGAGCAATGTAACCGTACGACCCTGCAATTGCTGACATGCACTCTGAAGCTCCACCATCCACCAAGAACTTGGCCAAACCAAAATCAGCAACATGAGCTTCAAAGCTCGAATTCAACAAAATGTTGTTCGATTTCACGTCACGGTGGACGATCAACGGAGAACAATCATGGTGAAGATAGCACAGCCCTTTTGCTGCTTCAACAGCAATCTTGTACCTCATTTGCCACCCCAAAAATCCACCCTTCTTACCATGTAATGCCTCTCCTAAGCTTCCATTCCTCATGTATTCGTACACAAGGAGGTTTGTTTCCTTGTTTGAACAAAATGCCAGGAGTCTTACGATGTTTCTGTGCCGAATGTTGCCTAATGTTCGTATCTCCGCCTTAAATCCGTGATCATGGCTGTTGCCGTTGAAGCCGAGGAGTTTCTTCACTGCGATTTCGACCCCGTTTGGCATTTTTCCATGGTACACTATCCCTGCTCCTCCTCTGCCTATCACATTGCCGTCTTTGACGCATTCCAGGACGTCGGATACCGCGAAATCCAGATTCTGGAAGGCTGTCATTCTCCACTTTGAGCCGTTTTTCTTGAATGATTTGGCCTTAATTATAGCTGCAGTTGCAAAGACTAGAGAACAGAACAGTAAGCCGAGGGCGAAAATCAGCTTGAATTCACCGCGAGACTTCCCTGATGGACTTGTCAGGAGAGTGGCATTGCACGGATTGTTGAGCAATGATCCACAGAGTTGAGGATTTCCGGCGAATGAAGAGGCATTGAAGAATGCGAATTGGCCGGATTCAGGCAGCTTTCCGGAGAGATCATTGAACGAAAAGTCAGCAGTTGTGAGGCTCTTCAGTGAAGCAAATGATTTTGGAATCGACTCACTCAAGTGGTTTCTCGACAAATTCAGGTAACTCAAGATTCTGATGCTGGAAATTTGGGTTGGAATTGAGCCAGAAAGGTTATTCTGGCTCAGGTCTAAGTAGGTCAGATGAAGGCAATTACCAATTTCACCAGGGATCTCACCAGAAAAAGCATTTGAACTGAGATCAAGTTTCACTACTTCTTGAAGTTCACCTATAGAAGAAGGTATTGGACCTGAAAATTGGTTCCCACCTAATGAAAGGGTTTCTATGGATGTAAAAACTGCAATGGAGAATGGCAAGAGTCCTGTGAACTGGTTGTTGGCTAGATTTAACTGAGCTATTGCGGTCGAATTAGGCGAATTTTCGCCTTTTTCCGACAAGGTTCCTGACAACAGATTGTTCTGCAACTCTAGTAAGTTTAAATTAGGCAAGTAAATGAAGTCATTAGGGATGCTACCATTCAAATAGTTCTGTCCTAACCTCACTCTAACTAAGCTTGTACATGTTCCTAAATCCTCAGGAATTGACCCAAAGAGAAAATTTTTGAAAAGAATTAGAATTCTAAGCTGTTTTGAGGCACACAAGTTTGGAGGGATTGTACCGGTTAGCTTGTTTGAAGACAAGTCAAGCTCTTGGAGCTTCTGATTCTGGCCTAGATTCCCTGGAATAGTTCCTGTGAAGTTGTTCTTCCATAGATACAGAACTTCCAAATTGGGATATTCAGCAACAAAATCTGGAATGGACCCATGTAATCTGTTCATGAAAAGATTCAGAAGCCTCAGCCGCCTCAAATCAATGAACTCATATGGGATCTCCCCAGTCAACACATTGTGGGAAAGATCAAGATTCACCAAGCTGGTAAGATTCCCCAATTGCTTTGGAATAGGACCAGAGAGAAAATTTATATCCAGAAACAGAGTTTCAAGTGATTTCAAGTTCCCTAATTCAGGAGGAATTGAACCATTTAATTCACAACTTGTGAGATCCAAAATGACTAGATTTTGCAGCTTCCCCAACTGTTTTGGAATGCCACCATCAAATGCATTGTAATAGCCCAAATACAGCTCTTTCAAGTTTGTGAGATTGCCCAATTCAGCAGGAATTTTCCCTTGGAGATTATTTCCTGCAAGTTGCAAAAATTCCAACCCAATCAGATTGCCATAACTATTTGGGATTTCACCCTCGAAAAAGTTTCCTCCCAAGTCCAAGTGCCTTAGGCTGTTCAAGCTTAGAACACCAAGAGGAAGAGAATCTGCAGAGAAGTTGTTATTGTATGCATCAAACACTTCAAGACTGGGTAAGCTTGAGTAGTTCCACTCCAGATTGCCACTGAACTGATTGTTTGAAATGTTGAGGAATATTAGGCTGCTCATATTCTCAATCCTAATATCTCCAGTGAAGTTATTGCCATCAAGGTTGAGCTCTATCAATCTGTCAAGCCTTGAAATGGCTGGAGAAACAGAGCCATAAAGATTCATGCTTGATATATTAACACCCACCACCCTTCCTTGGAAGCATTTTATCCCAGCCCAAGAGCAGAGAGAACTCTGCTCAGAAACATTCCAAGTATCAATGGCAGGATTAGAGAATTGAAACCCTTCTTTAAGAGTGATTAAGGCATTAAAATCACTGAAAATAGAAGAGGAAAAAGCTGTGCCCACAATGGAAGAGAAGATTGTCACAAACAGAAATGGCACCATTGTTTGTTTCTGTGAGAAAAAAATCTTTAAGGAAAGTGATGAGTTTGGAAGGACTTGAAGAAGAAACAAAGGAGTTTAAGAGGTGATTTTTGGAAAAGGGATGGAGGCAAAGTTGAAGGAATCTGAGAAAACTTGAGTCTATACAAATATAAAGAATTAAACATCTTGAGAGCAAAAAAAAAAAGAGTCTTGAAAATCAAGGAAGAAGCTAAACCTCCCCTTTTCTTCCCCTTTAAAGCTTTTGCTTTTCTATCCCAATGAAGAGATTAAATGATCAAGTTTGGCTATAATAGTATGGATTTTGGGCTATATAGTGTCGGTGAAAACTTGTTAGCTGAATCCCAGAAATGGTAAAAGGAGAAGAAGAAGAAGAAGAAGAAAGATGATTATGAGCTAAAGAAAGCAGCCGTTGGGAAACAGAAATTTAAAGTTCAGATTATGAGAAAAAGTAAAGTTTGATTCTTTGGGATGTGTTTTTGTATTACAGAAACAGCCCTCTAGCCTTTAGCTTTAATCAAAGTGTGCCCTTTTACTTTGAGATTGAGATGATGGAATGGAATGGAATTTCACTTTCAAGGTTTGAGTCATAGAGAATGATTAAGATGGTCTCCTCCTTCTAATATAAAACATTTTTAATTCTAGATAAAAACAACAATAGCTGGATCAAATCTAATGAAAGTAAAATATACAAAAACGAAAGGGAAAAAGGGTTCATTGCAATCAATGCATCATGCCACTATTACAAAGCTATTCTGTGTCATTTGACTTCCATATTGTTTGATAATGACATAAAGAAGATATGCACGGATCAGATCAGTGTGTCTTTAGGGTATCGCTCAGCATAATCTAGCTATTTGAGTATTAAATTTAGATCATGTTTCTCCATATTAGTGCTTGCAATTGTTGATATGGTTTGATTTGCTGACTTCCTTTTGGAAATATGGCTATATTTTAATGTCCATTTGGTTCCCTGGAGCTCCAAACTGAGAGAGTTTTTGACAAAAAGAAAGTATGAACCTGTATAAACCTCAGAATTATGATGTCTCAGCATGCTATAGAAAGCATCATTGCAGATACTTTCAGTACTTGAGAGAAATTATACCACAGCTAGAGCTGGCTTTCATGACTACCACCATATAGCTAAAAATTATTAGGTTAATTAATTCGGTTAAAATGATTCAATTGCTCCAAAACTCAAACCCCTTCATCATTAAGAACACTAAAAACGAATTAGTGTATGATTCTGTTCAATAAATTGTTTTGCATGGCACATGTGTGGCACTTGATAGGTATCCTCAGATAATGTAGTATAATATATCATTACTTACACATGCAAAAAAATTTCTTACTGTTCAGAAGTACAGATAGATTGGGGGGGACAAAATCTCCTGCAACAAACAGTGAATGTGTAAGAGGGTAAAAGAAGATGATTATTAATGAATGATTACTGTGGTTCTTTTATGAAATGATCCATAAATTATTACTCTTATTGCAGAGAGAATACTGTTGTTTCATGGGGTTGTTTTTTGCTTGCATGGAAGAAGCAAACTAGGGAAAAGCCTTTCCTTCTTCTGATGCTTGCTGCTTTATTCCCCTTTTCCAACAGGGCTGGTCCCAATGGCTCTCTATGTTTATGGCACTCTAATATCTAAATTGTGTATTTGAGCTTTATTAGAAGATGGAATAGTCCTAAAGAGAGGGCTGAAGAAAAAGTAAAAGCAAATAGGGAATACTTGTTGTTTTTTGCTTTTGATCTTTCTTTCTTTCTTTCTTTCTTTCTTCCCCACTTCTAAAAGAGAGGAAAAGAAAAGAAAAATCCATGATCCCTCATTTCACATGGAAAGAAGTGCTGCTGCCTCTCTTTGCTATTAGTATTAATTTTAATTTAACAGTTAAAAAAACACAGCAGAAGCCAGCCAACCCATTCTTTTCATTTACCCTTTAAAAGATGGGAAAATGTCTATGGCCCCCAACAAAATGCATGGAAAAGAGTGCTCTTGTTATGTTTATATATGAACTTCCAATATCTTTATATATACTCAAATCACCATTTCTTGTGTTTATATTTCTGTGCTTGTACCGTTTTAATAACAACAGTTGAAACTTGTTAGTAAATGTTATCAAAATGATATGATTCTGAAAGAAATATAAATAAACAAAACGAATTGGTTATTTTGATTTCCAATACGTCGCTTAAATTACTTCACTGGATGGATTTACTATCTCTACTAATACTCGTATAACACACCCGAACTCATCTTTCTTTCTCTATTTTGGTAATCTCCTTGCCTCCACTTGTGTGTTTTTATTTATTTTTTTTTGGGGGTGAAGCTGCTGAAATAGTGAGGAAGCGAGTGGATTACATGGGCAAGACGTAATGGACTAGGGTTTAGATGGATAGTACATCTCTCTCTCTTTTGAGGGGTCTATATCTTTCTGTACATCTGATGGGGAGGTCTGATGTCTGCCCTCTTTTTTGAAGGGTCATTTTCTTTGTGTTCTATGGTTTACTCTTCTGGGCTTGAAGCTGATCCCCATATATGCTTGCACAGGAGTCTTGTCTTGAACCTCATTGATTTATTTATTTATTATGGATGTAATGGTTGGTGAATGTACATTGGTATCAATCTTTCATAATCTCTTCCTGTTTAAATTTTGATTTATGGTACAAATTATACTAAAAATAAAATTCAAACTGAATAATAATTTTAGGACACAGAGAATATGATGATAATTTCTTATAGTGATAAAATGAGATTAACCATATGATACACATGAACACTCAAAATAGATGTATAATTACAATAACAGGTGAGTAATCTCTATTACACTATTACTATGACGTAATCAAGAAACTATAACAACTAGCCGAGGATGAGGAGCAGGGTTCATTTACAAATTTACAACTTTGATGATATCTAAATAGGATGCTACGTTAGCGTCAGCCATTTTCATAATATTTCATTGCAAAATAGTAGAGATTAGAGATAAGGCATTTGAAAAAACTTTTCATCGTGGGGAACATCAAATACAATATAAACTTTTCTAACTAGGTCAGCGAAATCCAGGAAGGACATTGGTAATTTCCGATGCGGATAGCAAATTGAGACTCTTATGTGCAAATTATACATAATCAAAATACATGATTGACATTATTATGGGGTAAAATATACTATTTTATAATTAATATATACTATTTATGTCCCAAAAAATTAATGTATACCTTAGATTTTCATTTTTAATATCTAAAACTCGACATTAATTTTGGGACGGAAAGAATAATTATATCATTTGTACTTTTCGACGAGATCCTTCGCGAGTTGGGATGAAACTTGGGAGTCCGGACGGTATATACTTATAAATGGTACATCTTGTTTTTTAACCTGAATATAAGAGGGTTTTTTTTTTTTTGGGGTGTAGAGTTTAACCTGAACAGAGCCAACAGTGTGTATTGTATGTTTGCATTGCATGCAATTGATAGTGTACACGTCAATACACAAAAATGGGCAGACCCAATTATTTTAGGTATCGTGTTTTTTTTCCTTGGATGGGAAACATTGGGTATAGATGATTCATGTAACTTGGGAGCCTCGTGCTAAAAAGATGAATTATATCAGAAGCTCCTGCTTTCTCAAAGTGCAATATAATCTGTTTGTCCTTCCTGCCTTTCATTTCACGTCTTTTACGTACACAAATCTCATCGGCTATCAGAGACGTTGTAGTACAATTGATAAAGTCGATCTGCCCCTTTTTTTTCCTCTCTTGTGCCCATTCTCACTCACATAGTCACACAACTCAGAGTTGTATAAAATTTTTCTCCTGAGATTACGTGAAAGATGTCTAGTTAAATCGATCCCACAATAGATGCCTACGGTTTCTTTTCTAGTCAGTCAATTCAGACACCGAGTGTATTATATATACAAATTTATTTTTGATTCTCTTGATGTTTGTTAACCTTTTATGTATTAATACAAAATTGAACTTATGGGTATATGTCTATCATTGTAGATCAACAATTAATTTATAATGACTTTATCATAATTGATCACGATTCGAAATTTTCATCAGATCAATGAAGGAGGCTAAACTCCTGATCGTATCTGAAAAAAGTTCCCTTGAATCAAGTAAGATTTCAATGGTGACTCATGCATACTTTCCGATATTGACATCAATATATGATCATTGATTATACGATGGTGTTGACCTCCCATCTAGTGGGGTTGAAGACTTGAAGGGTTGATTGATGATCATCATCATACATCACATTCCAGGTTCATTGTTAGCTATACATTGTGGAATTCCAAGTCATTTTTTTTTTTACCTTCGCCCAAGTGGAGTGTCCACTTTGATCTATCTTTTAGCTTCCATCATTGTCACTCATTGATCCCACGTAAATCACATTAATTTCTACACGAACAATTTTAATGATCATCATGGGATTCACAATCTAATTTTAATTCCTCATTCATCCTTAAACCACACACACATGCAAAAAATATGATGATTGATGGTCACTCTTGCGTATATATCCGTATCATTTTGTCCCCATATTTTTTGATTTTGTCGTTGAATTTTTTTGCCCACTTAAAGCGACCTGTTTAAAGTACTAATTTGTATTTTGCAAATTGTGATAAGGCAGCTGATCCGTGCCTCTTTCACTCGATCACAATTCTTCTCTTGGGTTTGCAAAGTTGACAAATATGTTGTAGTATATATATATATATATATATATATATATATATATATAGATATATACATATAAAATTATATACTCCCTCCATTCACAAATAGATATCGTTGGAGGAAAACTCAAATATTCCAAAATAGATGTCGTTTTCACAAATCGAGACATATTTTGTCAATTTTTTTTACTATCACCCTTACATTGGAAATTGTTGTGATATTTAATGTAGAATTGTATTAGAAGTGAATTTTATTATAGTATTTTAACAAGATAATTATTGCCTCTTTAAACTTTGTGAAATCTCTTCAGCGACATCTATTTGTGAATGTTATATACTCCCTCTTCGATATAATGGATATGTTAATTCTTTAGGTAATTTGGTATAACAAATTTTCTTTTTCCGAGACTAATTGAAGCAGTATATAACTATACTATTGTCTATAGTGGCAGACGCACGAAGATATCTCCAACTGTGCAATTTTGGCTTGTATGGTTGATCTATAAAATTATTTCTACATTTTCCATTGAGTAAACTAGTATAATTGATACATTTTGTAATTAAAAATATGAAATTTGAAAATAAAAATAAGTTGTCGAATAAAGAGTTGTAGTGGAGTGGTAAGGACTCTTCCACCCTTAATCATAGGTCGAGGTTTCAAACATTACTATGGGCATGGAGCAACTTTAAATTCTTTGACCAGCTCTCCCACCTATCGAGGTGCCTACCATGAGCGAGGGAGATTAGTCACAATTGACAATGGTGGACACCCTGCAATATGCAAAAGAAAAAATAAAAAATAAGTTGTCGCTAGGGAATACCCTTTCAAAATTTGGTCTCGAATAGATTTAGTCGTAACTAGCTTTCTTACATACGTAATTTGTTTTGAACCAAGTAGTTTTTGAAAGACCCGTGTGTGATTATTGGTTAAGTCGTGATTAGAATACGAGGTTTTTCACTAATAAAAGATATTGATTTAGCTTTAAAAAAAAGAAAAAAAAAAAAGAAAAAGAGAATGCTCTTACCATTTAATAAACAGTAAAGCCCAATTATTATTATAATATCAGTCCAATTTTCAACCAACACAATACATTAGTGGGTTCCGTTTTTTATTTTGACCCAATCCAGAAATTTGGGGCCGAAAGAGAGAAGAAATCCCACGGGCCTTACCCATGGAAACTAAAACCCTAGTTCTGGTCACTTCTCCTCCTAATATAGGCTCGGATCGAGCCAGCCGTTTATATCAATCCACTTAATCTAAACCGTCGAATCATCATCAAGGGAGACTATAAAAAAGCTTGCATAAATTCCCCTGTACGGTGGTGAATCTAGGTTTTGGTGACACAGAGTTTTTGGCTAGCTTTCCCGGAGCATTTCTTTGTTGGACGTCGAGGTAAAATCGTTTAGATCACGAGCTTTTCAAAAGTCCAGGAGAAGAGGATTTGTTGTTCCAGTTTCCAGCAGTGTTTAATTTGTTGTTTTATTTTTGTACTATTTCAATGATGCCGAATTATGTTATTTCAGTCGTCAGATTGCTTTTGAACGTTTTTCTTTTATGAAATTACCTTTCTGTTTTGTGTTCTGTTTTTGGTTAATTTTGTTTGGCTATACTTGCTGCTCTTGTTAGTAAGAAACAGTATTGGTTTTTGTTAACGAAGGATATTTATTTAATTTCAGTTCTGATGGATTTTTTGTTTTGTGTTTAAATTATTTCTCGGGAGAGTTTTTCTGAATTGTGGCTCTGTTGGAGTGAACATGTCCGATATATGGATCCTTTTTCCGTGCAGCGATTGAAATGTTCTCCCTGTATAAATTTTAATCAAGGCTGGTGTCTTTGAAGGGCTCTTTTACCATTGTCTCCAATTGTTTTTGGGGTCTTTTGGGAAGAAATACCTATGAGCTTGAGAATTGGCACTTCTAATTTTGTGCCATAGGCCTTTGGTCAGGGATCATTTCTAATCTGTTTGCTGGAAGTGTTCATTATTGTGTTGTGTTTATTGCTACTGCAGTCACTCTTTATCTCGAGAATTTGAGGTTTCTTTAACAAAACCTTTCTAAAACCTTTCTTCTTGTATGATAATGATTATAATTAAAATTTTTGTTTGTATTTATCTTGTGATTGCGAGGTGTCAATGGGTTGTTAATCTGTCTTTGCAGTGCTTTTCTTTTTTTTTTCACCCTCCTTTTTCTAAAATCAAGGTTCCTATGTGCTCCTTTCTCTCATTATAGGATGTAAATAACTACCCATGGATTATGAGATTGGGTTACGTTCTATCTATGTGATTCTTACAATTTGAATGTTTATAATCTTAACTTTTCGAGTTTTGCAGAGATACCAGTAAGAAACAATGTCTCACCGCAAGTTTGAACATCCCAGACATGGTTCCTTGGGATTTCTCCCAAGGAAACGATCCACCCGTCATAGAGGAAAAGGTTTCTAGTATTATTTTAATGTCTAATTTTTGAATGTATTTCAATGTATTTGGTTGACTTGTGCATTTGTTTCATTGCTTGTACCATCCATGCTTGGTGTTGTTTGTAGTCAGATTTTTTATTAGGTTATTTCCTTACAGCCTACTGTTTATTTTTCAGTGAAGGCTTTCCGCAAAGATGATCCCACAAAACCCTGCACGTTAACTGCATTTACTGGGTACAAAGCTGGGATGACTCATATTGTGAGAGTGGTGGATAAGCCTGGATCAAGTCAGTCTCTCCTTTCTTAATGAATAATGTTTGCTTTTTGTGTTTTTATTTTTTTGTATATGCTTAGCAGGGAACTGTATTGTATTGTATTGAGATGTGGTAGAATAATGGTTGATCTTCATGGACCTCACTAGCTGTAGGTTGTAGGAATATTAGAAAATTGAAATTTGAGTTACTTATTCCGGATAATAATGATGCCTAATTAATTTTACCTTCTTTCAATCAAGCATCAGACCATTACAGTACCTGCTTTCAGAATGAGGGTTATTCTATGTATTTTATCCAGAAACGCTCATCATTTTCTAATTTTGGGTGTTTATGCGCAGAGCTTCACAAAAAGGAGACATGTGAGGCAGTGACCATAATTGAAACACCACCAATGGTTGTTGTTGGGGTTGTTGGCTATATTAAGACACCCCGTGGCCTTCGCTGCCTGGGAACTGTGTGGGCTCAGCATCTCAGTGAGGAGGTGAGAAGGAGATTCTACAAAAATTGGTGCATGTCTAAAAAGAAGGCTTTCACTAAGTATTCACAGAAGTACGAAACTGAAGATGGGAAGAAAGACATCCATGCCCAGTTGGAAAAGATGAAGAAATATTGTACTGTCATTCGGGTCATGGCTCACACTCAGGTAAATGATGTTGTTGTTTACTTTGTCATTTTTTCTAATTGATTTATGGTCTTGTGCTATTTTCTTTCCTTCAGTTTCTACGTTTTTGTTATGTTTTAATTTGAAAAATTATTACCCTGTAGATCCGGAAAATGAAGGGCCTTAAGCAGAAGAAAGCCCACCTGATGGAAATTCAGGTCAATGGTGGGGATGCTGCTAAGAAGGTTGATTATGCTTATAGCTTATTTGAAAAGCAGATCCCAGTTGATGCTGTTTTCCAGAAAGATGAGATGATAGATATAATTGGGGTGACAAAAGGTAAGGGCTACGAGGGAGTAGTGACCCGTTGGGGTGTGACTCGTCTCCCTCGAAAGACCCATCGTGGTCTCCGCAAGGTTGCCTGTATTGGTGCCTGGCATCCAGCTAGAGTATCCTATACAGTTGCTAGGGCTGGGCAAAATGGTTACCATCACCGTACTGAGTTGAACAAGAAAGTCTACAAGTTGGGTAAAGCTGGTCAGGAGTCGCATTCAGCTAGCACTGAGTATGACAGGTTAGAATTGGTTTTCTTTTGTCAGATTTTTATTACTTTGTTATACTGCCACGTGCTGGATTTGCACCTTGGAGAAAAATAGTGTGCATTTAGCTTGCTTTTTGTGGGAATGTGTCTTGGCACGAATATAATGTTGAATCATACAAGAATTCTTGCTATATACCAGTTATAACTGTGTATATGTTCATCAAATTGATTGTGAATTTTCTTTCTTAAATGGTTGTTGGTTGTTTTCAGGACTGAGAAGGATATAACTCCTATGGGTGGCTTTCCGCACTATGGAATCGTCAAAGATGATTACCTCTTGATAAAGGGTTGCTGCGTTGGGCCAAAGAAGAGAGTGGTGACGTTGAGGCAGTCATTGTTGAAGCAGACATCTCGCAATGCAACAGAAAGTGTAGTTATCGGGTTCATTGACACATCATCAAAATTTGGCCATGGTCGTTTCCAGACAAAACAGGAGAAGGCCAGGCATTATGGACGACGTGTCGATGCTTGAGAAAGGACTAGTTGGACTCATCTTGCCCAGAATAGCTGTTTTTGCAACACACAATTTTGGATTCAGTTCTTTTTTTTTTTTCAGACTTCTTATTTCTTTATACCCAGATAAAGTTTTGTTGACAATGTGGTTAAATAGATTCTTTTTTATATACTAGTTAAAGTTTGTGTTCCTTTTACGCTTGCTGAGAATGAGTGTGAGTTTAGTTCGCCAATTGTCAAGTTCTTCAGCTTTTAAGTAGAGTGACTGAGGTTCAGTCATCATCAGGAGTCCAGGACCTCAACAACAGTTAGAAGAATAGGACATGGGATTTAATGAATTTGCAAAAAATTAAATGTCATTTGTCAAGCTATAATAAAATGTACTCAATTTGAGAATTTGGTACAATTTGTACTAACTGTGTTGAACTCAAAATCATTTAGGAGTATTTGACTTCTACGTCCGTTCAAAATAATATGATTAGTACTTCTTTGGAACGCAGGGAAATACACTGGAATTGTTTATCTTTGTGAGCTCAAGTAACATGATCTCAAATGGAGATGACCATTTTATACTTTTGTTAAGGGAAAGAATTCAAAAGATTTTCAGTTCAATTCACTATTGTAAGAAGACGTTTATAAACTTTAAACCCAAAAAAAATGAAAGAAAAAGATATTGAAAATATATGTTTAGTGGCAATAATACCCTAAAATGTTGTTAACATGTCCCGTTCATAAAGACAATAAGACCTTATAACACGGTCCATAAAATGAAGAGCGTTAACATTTTCATCATATTCATAACGATATAATTTAGTAAATAAGAAGCAAAATTTGAAGCAAGGAACCGTATCAATCTTAACAAGCACTCTTTTCAAGGACTTGTTTGAAGTTAAATAAACACTCTCGGAAAGTGAAAGCATGATAAATAAATCAAGCATGCTTGAGTCGGAGAGACCTGACATTAAGGGGAGGCAAAAAAAATAAATAAATAAATAAAGAGAGAAAAGAAGGTGAGATACATGCCATACCACGAGGATTTTGATTAAAAAATATTTCTTCCGCCCCATAATTATTGTTCAGTTTGGATTTTCATTTCTAATTCAAATTGTACTAAAATTGAAATCTCAAACTGGACAATAATTTTGAGACGGAGGGAGTAATATGGATTTTTTCACGACTAAACTGTATAAATGGTCCCTTACATTTGTTCGAATTTAAATTTTGGTCCCCTACATAAACATGTATATGGATTGAGCCTTTAAATTTCATTTTGAACCTTTTTTGGTCTCTTTTCACTGTTCCGTCACCATTTCTATCTTGATGACCGTTGACCCTACCAAGTCAGAGGTATTTTCGGAATGACACATATAAGATCAAAATAACAAATGTTTAAATGGTCCCCTACATTTGTCCGAATTTAAATTTTGGTCCCCTACATCAACATGTATATGGATTGAGCCTTTACATTTCATTTGAAACTTTTTGGTCTTTTTCATTGTCGTCACCATTCCGTCTTGATGACCGTTGACCCTATAAAGTCAGGGGTATTTTCGGAATGACACATATAAGATCAAAATAACAAATGTTTTTATAATAAAATAGGATAAAATATTAAAAATTATTATTTTATAATAAAAAATTAAATAATGTAAAAATAAAAAAAATTAAAATGATTTCAAATTTCAAATTTCAAATTTTTTTTTCACTTCCCACCTTTGTGGGTCCCACATGCCACTCAATTTCCCCCTTTTTTTTGCTACAGTAAAAAAAAGCAAAGTTAAAAAGTAAACTTACCGTCACCCGTCAAAATTAAAAAGTAAAAAAAAAGGGCGAAAGTAAGTTTGCTTTTTAATTTTGATTTTTTTTACTGTAACAAAAAAGGGGGAAAATTGACTAGCATGTGGGACCCACAAAGGTGGGAAGTGAAAAAAAATTTGAAATTTGAAATTTGAAATCATTTTAATTTTTTATTTTAATTTTTAAATTATTTAATTTTTTATTATAAATAATAATTTTTAATATTTTATTCTACTTTATTATAAAAACATTTGTTATTTTGATCTTATATGTGTCATTCGAAAATACCCTGACTGGTAGAGTCAACGGTTATCAAGACTTAAATGTGACGAATGATGAAAAGAGACCAAAAAGTTTCAAAATGAAATGTAAATGCTCAATCTATATACATGTTAATGTAGGGGACCAAAATTCAAATTCGGACAAATGTAGGGGACCATTTAAACATTTGTTATTTTGATCTTATATGTGTCATTCAAAATACCCCTAACTGGTAGGGTCAATAATCATCAAGACGAAATGGTGACGAAACGTGAAAGAGACCAAAAAAGTTTCAAAATGAAATGTAAAGGCTCAATCCATATACATGTTGATGTAGGGGACCAAAATTTAAATTCAGACAAATGTAAGGGACCATTTATACAGTTTAGTCATTTTTACACCCCTCAAACATTTTTTTGCTTTATGGTTCTTTCTTTATGTGAAAATGGACCCCCTCTTCTCTTTTAAGGACTTGTCTTATGCATCAAAATTTTACAATATCCTTTCCTTTGAGGTGACTCCATTACCTACAAAAGGAAAAGTAATCTTGTTGATATTGAAATGCATATTCTCTCAGGCATGAAAACACACGGGTAGGTCAACCACAGATGATGATAATTAAAAATTCTTTGGCCGATAATTAAATGCGATTTCATAACATTTACATATAGAAAGAACAAAATGAGATCTTTTGTATCAACTTATGAAACAAAGAATCTCATTCACCACAAACACGATTATTTATTTAATTTTGTTTCCAACAAAATTAAACTAATCGTTACGTAAATAGAAACTAGCCGGCTGTTTTGGGCTTTCTTAATCTCCTCGTGCTGCTATTGCCTTGTTTTTATTTATTGAGCAAAAGGGCTATTCAACAATTCCTAAAATGCACATGGGTTGTTCACAACACCAACATCATACGTACATTTGGAAATTATCTCCAAAAAAAAAAAAAAAAAGAAGAAGAAAAGAAATCATTGAGTTGAAATCATCATATTGGGAGCAATTAAATGGCCTTCTTTTCTTCTTTTCTTTCTTTGTAGTTTCAAAGACATGGTGATTGCTCTTGTTGAAATGAGTCTCCCTAGCTAGCACACGGGAGAAGACATGCAAAGAAAAAAGCTTCATTTCGCCAACCACTCTAGTCAGTAATTGGATGAATCGATCTCCTTCCAAAACCTTTTTTTGTTTTACGTACAGAGTCTCTGAAAATTACATTCCGTTCTTACTTATAAAGCACAGATTAAAATTAAATTTGGAACGAGAAGCGAATAATATCATTGTTATTTTACGGAACAAAATGGGGGGTTTTTAATGTTGTTTGAACTTGGAGCAAAGCGATTGGTCGATGGTTGAGTTGGCCATCAAACAACTATGATCGAATTGAGAAAATATATAAAAGTTTGGTCTCGACAACATTGATACTTTAAGTTTGGTCCTGGAGGATTGCAACGGCTTGATGATCCACCGTTGGAGCTACACCATGGCTTTAAAATGATGTTATTGGTGTAACATATTCTCGTAACATAATAATTTCTTTGTAAAGCTTGAGCCTTTTTTTATTAGAACAAAAAGAAAATGTACATTCTTTCTCTAAAGCAACTATTTTGTTTAGTGTTCGAATCTCACTGAGTTAGATACAAGAGAAAAGCTTTGTTGGGTTTTTTCCCTAATGGAATGTTTTTCATTCTTGGAGATGAAAATTTTGAGGAATAAATGTTGAACTGTCTGTCCAAATCAGTTTCTTTTTTCTTCTCTCTCCCAATTTTTTTTTTTCCCTTCAATTAAAATCATTGAGGTTGTGATGGTGTTGTGCATAGCTGGAAGATTAGCAAATCCAAACCCACATTCTCTTCTCCCACTTTATAAGTTCCCTTCTAGTCACAATTATATTTGTTTGTTTTAGTGCTTTGATCTGATTCGACACTTGCTCCATTTTGATTTATTCACTTATATAAAATTGTTTTTTTTTTTTCGGCTGCAGCCTTTGCTTTTCTTTAATTTTTCTTGTCAGCCTTTTTTTTTTCCCTTCTTCTTTTCCATTTAGTGGGAATTTTTAGTGATGTTTTTCTTACCAACTCCATGATTGAAACCATCTGATTTGGTTGCCATGTTCAGGAAAAAAAAAATAAAAATCCAGACTCTGCCAGCCCTTATTTGATGCATCTCATTTTTATTTGTCGATTATGTAGCAGAGAAAGGACTCCAAGATAGGCAAAATTAACATTATCACTTAATACATAAAAATGAAACCCCTCACCAAATCAGAATTTGTACCTATAGGGAAAGGGGATGCTCAATAAGATTCTATTTATGCAACTATACCATAATATCCTCAAAATTGGACTTCTATCAAGATAGAAATGCATTTTTTTAAAAATAAAAGTCAGTAGTATTGATTCATGTCGTTATAGTAAGTAATAATTTGATTTCTTAACTGTTACGATTGATGCATAAGACACCATTGTCATGTTACTGTTTGTTACTTTTGTAGTTAGTGAGATTCAAACTCTCATTTTTTGGAATGAATACCTAATGTGCGACGGTTCAATCCTTGTAATAAATATGAAATAATAACCCTTCTTGACAAACAGAAAAAAACCTACAATGTCTGTGATTGTGGAAGTCTTGTGATAGCACTGAAATTGTGATTACCTAGTTAAACATCTTGAGTTTCCAAAGGGAAACGGAGCTAAGGACAGACAAAGAAGGCCCCGAACCCCCTTTTTTTTTTTTAAGTATTATGTGCAGACAGAAGTATAGTATTGATTAAGTTAAGCATCAGGATGATTCATTCATGGACATGGACATCATCTCTCAATTCCAAAAAACATTAATTAAAAAAGTGTACAAACAAAGATTATCATATAACTTTGTCTTCACATTTCTCCACTTGTGGGTATAAAGCTTTATCTGTACAGCCCCAGAGGGGAGGAGCTACAATTTTTTCCTCCTTTTTTAATTAGTGCCTGAAATAATGCAAGTGTCTTTCCTTTCCAGGACAGGAAGCCCATCACTCAACATTACATTACATCAAGGAAAAAAAAAAAAAAACTAGAAACTTACATAATTCAGTAGCCTCTAAGTATCATTTTACACAATTATACTAAATGCCTCACAGAGAAAACGAAAACCATGTTGGTTCCTGATGATTTTAGGATCCAGTAGGTCGTTTTTTCCCTGCGCACGAGGCGAAAAAAGACGATAATCACAGCGTTGCGAGCCTTCACTTCACCTAGGTGAATATATGTTGCAGTCCTGTTTCTTTGTCAGTTTTGTTTCATGTTTTTTCTATAATTTTCATTGAAATGGTGGAAACATTCTATTGTTCTTCTGTTTTTGTTGATGATCATGAGAAACGCTTTAATTGTTCTGTAATCTACTTCAAACACCGGGCCTTTGTTATGTCAGTAGAAACTTCCAAGTACTAATTTTTCCAGTTAGTACATACAATGAGGTCATCATAGTCCACATTTTGTCATCAAAAAATTCATCATAGTTCAAATCCTCTAGAGGAACAAAAATATAGAATGAGCACATTCAACACTGAAAGATCAAAAGGGAATAATTGGAACATCTACAACAGTAGTCCACCATCTTCTTCAGATCCTACTCCTACTCCACTACCTCCTGATCGAGATGTTCCATGGAGAAATCTCGGGACATCAATGAACGCGATTTCTTTCGGATTCGTGGCGACAGCAATCTTGATTTCCATGTTCTTGATCATGGCCATCTTCGAACATCTTTTCAAGGCTAATGAATCATCTTTTTCTTCTTCTTCACCTGATGATGATGATCACCATCAAGGAAGCACAATAAATGGGTCCTCGCAAACCACTGTAGAGATGCAGAAACGTCAAGATTCCCAAATGGTATGCCTTTACTTCTTCTCTATCTACCCGATGTTATTTTCACCGCAACCAAATAGGCCCTTTTGTTTTAATGCTGTTGCTTGTATGGGGAATTTTGCAGGTTTTGACAACCTCGTATTCCTCGGAGTTGTCAGTTTTAATGCCAGGACAGCAGTATCCTACTTTCATTGCCCAACCTGCTCCTCTTCCTTGTCAAAGGGAAGGGATTTTCTGGCCTCCCCACCAACAACATTCCTAGTTTTTTTTTTTTTTCTTTATTTTGGTCTTAGAGATAAACTTCATATGAAAAATCATTAGTCTAAGTAACATCACATTCCAATATCCATCCGTATTAATGATCTTTTGAATTGCGATTCCACGATTCTTCGATTCAAATGCGCGTCTTAAAGGTTTGATAATTTGAGGTTGTATATTATATTCTCTCCGTCCAAAAAAATAAAAAAATAAAAAAATTCTTTTGGACTAAAATAGTATGGCAAATAGATTTTATTTTATTTTATTTTTATATTTTCAGGTCGGAGGGATGTATGAAGTTTGAAGATACATTTGTAGTAGGGATGTTTATATATTCAATAGTACAGTTAAGTAGGCTGGAAACTAAAGCATTGCTCTGGGAAATGAGGGTGTTTTTCTACTCGATATTAAACGCGCGTATCAGAAAAGCACTCCAGATTGGGGCTGCTACTAAAACATGCAGATGAGAATGATAGGAATAAATTTATATAGTTAAACACTTAAACTACTCAGGTTCCAAATATGAAAATATGTACGTATAAAAATGTCATTCGTTATATTTCATTTTTTGTATCATACTCCTTCAGCACCGAAAACATAAATAGTCAAAATTATCATACGGATGACAAATAAGTGTGGTCGCACACCAAAGGGTGTAAGGAGTTCAATATCACACTCTTCATCCTCCTTGTTAAAATAAATAGTCACATTTATGATCCGTTACTTCTCGAAAAATAGTTAAATTTCAGAAACATAAATTTTATCAAATTTGTTTTTTTTTTTTTTTTTTTGGTTTGGTGGGACGAAGTCAAAACTCAAAACTCTAGAGGAGGAGAGAAGTTTATCACCACTACACCTAGACTCGTAACCATTTGTTGTTCACGACAAGTCATATAGCCCGTTATCTCAGCTACAAGACTCTGTCAGATCCCGACTAGGATCGGACGGAAAAGGAGGGATTTTCGGTAAATCAGAGATGAAAATGGCGGTTAGGGTTTGATAACCCGAGAGGAATTAGGAATGACAAAGCGTTTCTGAAAATTCAACTTCAATTCAATATTTTCGATATGAGTTTTTGACCCCGGGTCTCTATTTATAGGTCCATAGTTTCCCAGTTTTACAATTAAACCCTTGAGCTTTTAATTTAGATCAATTTAGCCCAGGGTCGTGACAATCCCTACCCCTTATTTTTTAGTCTTGACCCCAAGACTGTTACAACTGAAACAAATGACAAATACTAACAACCTGCCTTATTTCAACAACTAGGCAAACAACTAATATGGGAATGCAACAACTCAGTAGAAATGAAAACAAAATCAACATCAAGTCAGCATGAATCTTGCAGAAAGAAATCTTCAGTGCTTGAAATATAGACATCAATACAAGCTTCAACATCAACTCCCAGCTTCTTCACTGTCATTATCCAACTGGAATATCAAGGAAACAGTAACCAAAACTTGACTAAAAATCAATCTTGCTTTCATCCAACAGCAACCCTCAGCTATTCCCAGTCTCAAATTCCAAGGTTAAGTCATTCACGTCACTCATTTCTCCATCAATTGTCCAAATAACACTATCAGAGGTCAATTCCTTGGCCATATCTTCACACAACATGACTTTTATTTGCCCCAATTTGCACACATGCCCTGGCTTGAAACGATCTCCACACTTGTAACACATCTGATTGTTCGCCCTATACTGGAACTCTTGAGGAGACATTTTCTTCACGTACCTGTTTCCAAAACCTTTGTTCCCAGCATACTTACCACCACCACCCTTACTGTGAGTCTTCTCAGAATTAGCTCCCTTACCCAATTGATCACCAAATTCTGTTTTAAGCCCTGCCTTAACATTAGAATGCAAGCTGCCAGCACTCTGTAAACCTTTGTTTCCATTTTCCCTATCCCCACTGCTAATAGGGTGCACCACAGTCTTCGTCTGATCCTCAATTTGATCAGGAGGCACCGGAACAGAAACAGAATGTCCCGTATCTATTAAATCAATACTAAACAAAGCAGCTAAGTTTCTTTCTTGGCAAATAGCAACATCAAAAGCAACGTCTAAGGTTTTAGGTTTCCACATTCTAACCATAGACTTAATCTCTTCCTTCAACCCACTAAGAAAGCACGAGACATAATACTCATCATCAAAATCATACCCCAACTGTAACAATCTAGAACGCAATTCTTCAAAGTGTTCTTGATATTCACTCACAGTTTCAGTTTGAAACAGTTTACTAAATTCCTCTACACAGCTTAGTCCCCCTTTACTACCAAATCAACGGATCAACAATTTAGAGAAATGATCCCAAGAAAGCTTACCAGTAGAACGTTTGATCCCCTGGTACCATGTTTCGGCTTTGCCATCCAGGAAGATCTTGACTGAGTCCAACTTCTCCTCCTCTGGAATGTGATGCATCAGGAAGTATTTGCGGCATTTCTGAAGCCAGTTCTGCGGATTTTCTCTCATGAACTCGGGTAAATCGAGTCTCGGCTGTTGGTACCACATCGGAGCAACCACTCCTTGTCCTTGCTGACCATTTCGAGACGGATTTCCCAAGCCACTGTTGCCCTACATTCCACTAGCAACTGTCAGCTCCGGAGGAGGATTATTTCGGCCTGAGTTGCCTGCAATTGGACTGTTCTCCTTATCCACTCGCCCTGAATTGGTTGGAGTACGACGATTTCCCCTTTCCAGAACGGTTTTGAATGAAGCTCTAGGGTATCAGCTCCAAGAGGGGTGAAGGGAGGTCGGTGTACTGATGGTACGCCAAAGGTGCGTTGTCTGTCACCCGAATTGCTTCTGTAACCGGCACCTTCTAAGGATTTGGAACTTGTTGCGATGCAACCAACTCGATGAGCTTGTCCAATCTTGCATCCCTTTCAGCATTTCTTGCCTCCTGCGCCGTCATTAGAGCCACTAACTGATCAAACTTTGACCCTATCTCCGAGAATCTGGAATCTAAGGTTTCAGGATGAGTAGCATTCACGTCACCTTGTGAATCCCTAGCAGAATCTTCGACAACAGCTCTAGATCTAGCCATTTCTTGAAATGATTCGAAACTGATGCAATTCAAGAAGAGAAACGAAGGAAACGAATATCGCACAGCGGAGAAGAGAATTTCTCGAACGAATTCGAAAGAGGGAAAGAGGAATCTGATTCACGAAAATGAATCGGAAAAGGTGCAACGGAGCAGACTGAATTCGAGACCATGAATTCGGAGGAGAAATGAAACAAATCGATAAAGTCGATTTCAAGAACGAAAAAAAATGAAATCGAATCCGATTAAAATCGAAATCGAGGAAGGATTTTCAGAGAGAACTAGCAGAAGAATGGATAGAGCGGCCAAGAACCGACAAGCTCTGAGGCCAATTTGTCAGATCCCGGTGAGGATCGTACGGAAAATGAGGGATTTTTGGTAAATCGGAGATGAAAATGGAGGTTAGGGTTTGATAACCCGAGAGGAATTAGGAACGACACAGCTTTTCTGAAAATTCAACTTCAATTCAATATTTTTGATAATGAGTTTTTGACCCCGGGTCTGTATTTATAGGTCCATAGATACCCGATTTTATAATCAAGCCCCTGAATTACTGATTTAGATCAATTTAGCCCAGGGTCGTGACAGACTCACTTAAGATATGAGTCCATAAAACAAACCATCAATACCGCAAACAAAAATGGCCATATGCCGACGGACCCATTGCCCCATCTTCGTAAACAAATTAACAATGGCAAAGGAGATAAATGTGGAGAAGAGGTTGCTGAAGAACAAGTTGATGAAAAAGAAAGCAGAAAAGCTTGAGATTGAAATTTTGGAAGGGATGCACAAAGCTATAAGGACTGGCGGCTCTGCTAAGGGTAAAACTCTTGATGTTGATAATGGAGGAGGAAGAAAGAACGAGTTGAAGAGAAAGAGACAAGAAAAGCTTGAGAAAATGAAATTAAACTTTTGGAACGGATGTAAAAAAGCATATAAAACGACTGATGATCATCTTAATTAATACAATATAACCTAAAACTATGACACGGCATCCTTCATAGAGTTAAAAAGCTCCTAAACCGCCAATGGATAGTAGAAAAGTCTCATATAAAACGACTTGACAATGAATCAGCCGATGTTTTAGCCAAACTAGATCTTGTATATGTTCTCGAGTTGCATGTTTAATTAATGCCCCCGCTATAACTCTAGAAAAAATAGTGTTAGACTGTATTAGATAAACTCCTTCTCGATGAGTTGCTTTTGTATCTGAATCGGGTTCTCTAGTATATTAAAAAAAAAGTAAAGGATAGTTTTGGAAATTCTCATATCAACATTTGAAGGCGGAACTGAAATGAGTCATTGAGATTGTATTTTAGTACACATTTAATGTATACACTTTTTCATATGTTCTCCGCATTGTACATGTGAAAAAGCTAGTGACTCGTATCTTGTTAATATATTTCGACAATGGTCCGTGAATGGAACACTTGCGAAGGCAAAAATCAAAATTGTCTTTTAAAAAAATTGGGATTCTTTTTTTTTTTCCAAATTTTGATCAGGAAAAAAAATGGGATTCTGTTTATTGATGTCAAGGCAAAGAAATCCATTGCGGATTCAATATCCAATGCAATCTGAACGTATTGTGCGATTTTACAATGAAAACTTGAAATTCCGTCAATTTCAGAATCAAGGATAACATTTTTCATCTAGCCCAGTACTGTTTTTGTAGATGCTAGGGATTTTTCCGTGTTCCTTGTGTTTTCTTTTACTTGCCTTTTTCTTCTTCCTCATTTTGTTTCCCCCTTAGTGGTTTTACACTTTTACTTAGAGGGGTTTTGCTCCTGCCATGACATCACTTTATCCATGTCATAACCTCAAAAAATGAGTGTGAACTCATATCTTCTTCCTGTTATCAATTATGAACATTTCCTCATGACAACCAAAGTTGTTGCCGGGGGATTCATCCACTTACCGAAACCAGATTGGAAATATTAACTTTATTACTCTATTGCTCTCCATACATATGCAAAAACAGTTTGGAAATTCTGAAACTAATACTAGTACATTGCTTCCCATACATGTGCATTCCAAGTTTTATTCATGAATGAATTCCTAGGTAGAACATTTCCCATTTCCAGGGGCAAACTTCTAATACATTGAACAGTGTGATTTACAAGTAGGTCACAATCTAATCTTCCACCAATTTTCCGGTCTATGCTCAAAAAATATATTCAAAAAGTAGGAAGAGATCAAAGAATAGCAAGTTCAAAAAAGTATCAGTTGGTTATTTATTTAATTAATCTAATTAAAAATCTTAAAAAACATGTTGTGAAATCAAAGCCATCACGTATAGCTAAATTATGCATCATCAAATAGCAAAAGTAGTAGGATTGAATTTAATACACAGCTCAAAAGAAGTCTCAAAGAGTCACAAATATTACCATTAGCGCAACACATCAAACACATTGCCCTAGAAGAGAGGAGTTCAAGAGGATAAAGAGACGGTGTAGGAGGGGAGAGATCTAGATGGGAAACCCATGCCCAGCACAGGAAAAGAAGAGGGGTCACCGCCAAACATGCGAACGCTACAGCAAGCAAGCCGGCATCTAGCTACAAGTTTGCTTACTTTTTTCCCAATCTTCAACTGCCACACTTTTCTTCTGGCAAAAGACGGCCATTGGCTTCTCCACACAGCGACGAGGATAAACAACATACTCACCTAGAAACTCCCTACTACCGGAATCATCATCATCATCATCAACAGTTTGAGCTATGAAGGTGATAAAATAATACTGCACCGGAATAGGACGACGGGCAGCACAGGGGTCCTCAACCTTAAGCCTGGGGTATAACTACAAAAGAAAAATAATAACAAACAGTAACTGCATCGGAATAGGATGACGGGCAGCACAAGGGTCCTTAACCTTAAGCCTGGGGTATAACTACAAAGGAACAATAATAACAAAAAGTAACGAAAACCCAGAAACTCAATATTAACAACAGGAATTGTCAACCAAAGTAAAGTTGAGTTATTACCGAATCCTCGTCTAGTTCGAATTGGCCTGGGATTGGAAAAATCCACTACTAGATGTACATCAAGCCCCCCATCAGGATCAGGAAGGGGTGAACCTGGATGAGAGGCATGAAATTTTGTAGGGTTGCGGAGAAAGGGGAAGCATGAATAATTTGGGAAGGTAATGCATACGCAAACCGCGGGTTTGACGGGTATGAACAAAAGTTGACACAGCAAGCAAGCCGGCAACCGGAAGATCTTTTCCCAATCTTCACGGACCACACTTTTCATCTGGCAAAACACTTCTCTTGGCTTATCTAGACAGCGTCGACGAGGATAAACAATATACTCACCAAGAAACGCTACCTCCGAATCATCATGATCCGCGCTTTGAGCCATAAAGGTGATAAAATAATACTAAAACATAACAGGGTTAAGGAAAGAAGTGGACCCCCTAAGAGTCAGGCCCTACCAAGACAAAAAAAAATAAATAAATAATGAAAACCAGAAACTCTTAATTAATTACCCAATTAACAGAAAATAATATAAGGAAAGAAAAATTGAAATTAGCTACCCCATGGGGTCAGGGGCCCATTGCTGTGGGATGGGAAAAATCTCATCCCATTCTATGCTCAAGTCAGAACAAGTATTACGGGCTCCAAGTAGCCTTCACAACCTAACACTCTGATACATCTACCCAGAAAAAGGAAAAAAATTAGAAAATCAGAAAATCAGAAACTTGTAGTAATACAATAACAATAACAACAATCATTTTTTCCATTGGGTGGGGTCGACTATAGGATCATATGTCGCTATCGTGTTGAATCGGTGAATAAATTATCAACTCAAGTAATGGAAAATGAAAAATGAATAAACACTAGTACACAGGTAGGTAGGTGGTTAGGTACCTTGTTATTAGGATATGTGGAGTTGTAAAGCCCAATGCACTCCCTAGACATATTAAAGATATTGAGAACACCCTCTTGATCTTTGTTCAGGTCGCAAGGTTTGATAAATGGTTTACAAGACTATTTGTGCCGAAAAAATCACTCTAAATCCATGAGAAAGAAAGGATGAAAATTTCTCTAAAATATACAAAATCAAGCGATTGTGGATGTGTTCTAAAACCAACCTCGGACCTAGAATCGAGGATTTAGGGTTAACATTGGTTTAATTATAAAGAGAAAAAGATATAGAAAGAAGCGAGACAAGTCAAAGAGTGGTGGTCGTCAATCCATTAACATGGGAAAAAAGAGATAGATAGCGCCGACTAGTTATGGAAAACGTAAATAATGCGCTATTACAAGAAGAATCGAATTCTCTGAAGTAGAACACGATGAACGACCACCTATTTCTATGAAGAAAAATAGGTAAAAAACTATTTAAGCTAGACTACACTGAAAAAACATGATAAAAATATATGAAAGAAAAACGAAAAATAAAGAAAAACGAATGATATCGATGATGATGAATTGAGGTGTTATTTTATGTCTCGGCTGCTTTTCTTTATATAAGCATTAGGAGAAGGACGGTAGAAGCACCTTATTGGTGAAGAAAACCAATTCCTTTTTGGACTCAAATTGAATCCCCAAGGAAATAGAAAACCAGCCGTGAAGGGATTGTATTTTAATCTCTCATGCAAAGCCATGTAAATCACTCCCTTCAAAGAGACCCAATTAAAATATAAATCCATGCCTAACTTGTAAATAGCTAATTGATTACTTAATCAACTAGGCAGCATCACGTGAGAATCCTTTCTCCATGCAAAGTCAACAACCCGAACCAAATAGAAAGACTCAAACATTATCTCTAAATTGTAGGAACCAAACCCAACCAGATAGTAATTGCTAATCCTTCGGTTCGAATTAAACCAAAATACGTATTTTTGGTGCTAACAAAGACTTTTCAGGAACTGATTTAAATGTATCTATGTCAAATCCCTGAAAGAAATTTAACACACCCAAATTAATAAATTATCAACTAATTATTAAAATTAAGAAAAGAGAGAAAAAAATAAAAACTAACCCGACTGTTGTGCATGACCCGGAAGTAGTTGATCCATTTTTCCTTATTAAACCCCTTCCAGAGAGGGTCAGAGAACAACGAAGAATACCTCTTCTTTAAAAACTCTGGTAGAGGTAGAGGACCTAGATCATCATCATCATCCTTTTCTGTTGGTGGTGGAGGAGGAGGAGGAGAACCTAGGGATGCGAGCCTGTCATCATTATAATTTGGTGGTGGAAGACCCTCCTCGTTTCCTCCTGATTTCCGCCGCTTTGTTTTCGATTTGCGCTTCTTCTTCTGATTTGCGGCTGGCTTAGCCATATTCTCTGCAGCAAGGATGGAAGCAAGCCTGCTTCAGGGAATCGTCAGTCAACGGAACAGCAGCCGGGGGGATCAAATCCGATCGACGGCCGCACTGCTCTTCCCCCAACCCTAGTTCTCTCTGTGTGTGTGTATGTTTTTTTGGAACCAAAAAGTGAATTGATCGTGAGGATACAGGCTTCTCTGTGTTTATGAATATATATATATATACACACACCGTACGTATAACCGACCCTGCCAATTTAGCCTCCTTATTAGAAATCGGTCCACTGAATTGGACAAAATTCCTTCTTGTCCACTAAGTTGTCAGAAGAATTGCTAAAGATCTTTCAAGTTTCAAACAATATCACGAGTCTTCTTCATTCTTCGATTCCAATGCACCTCAAAGGTTAAAGTACACATTTGCATGGATTCCCTTGCGTTGACATCAATAAATAGAATCCTTTTTTTTGGGGGGGGGGGGGGTTTCGAAAAATTAGACCATTTTGATTATTAACTGGAAAGCCTACGCAACTGTTCCATTCACAAACCATTATCGATCATACATTAACATGATACGGGTCACTAGCTGTTCATCTTCACATGTACGACGCTGAGAGCTTAGGAAGAGTAGATTTTACACTTACATTACATCTGTACAATCGTTCGAAATCCTAAAATGCAATATCATTGACTCATCTCAGTCTCGCCTTCCAATGTTGAAAGCTATGGCACATGATCAGTGTAATTAACAGGCTTTGTCACTGTAAGGATGTTTAAATCCCTATAAACATCATCTTTTTCAGTTTATTTATTGATCGTGTATTCCTTCCATACCAGAAAAATACTAGTAGTTAACATTGAGTTCAATGTTGACTGTTTTTTTTTTTTGACCAGTCTAATCTAATAATATTGAGGATCTAAATGCACGTAAAACTCAAGTTCGTAGTTTTTGAATTATAGATCTTACGTACTTCAAATGATTTAATGATATGTTTGAACATGGATTGGCCATTAGAACTTGGAGTCTTCGACTGACCATTTTGCCCTTAACTTGAGTAGTCCTCTCTGGTAATCCACAGGCTCAGACAAACCGAAATCAGCAACTTTGGCATTCAATATATCATCATCTAGCAATAACAAAAATCGATATACATCTAGTTCGATAACAAAAGTAACAAATTGGAAGAACAAGTAGTAGTACTACTTAATTATCAATCTGTGAGGAAGATTATGCTAACCAAACATAGGAAAAATTGGCCGATCTACTCAAAAGTTGACATGTGTTGTCAATTTTATCCTATTCTTTTTCGGTTAGCCAATATTACCCTAAGCTATCCAACCGTTAGCTGATTTTGTCCAATTTGTCAATTTCCGTTTAAATTAACGGAATTCTGTTAGTTTTAATTACAAAAAATACCCCAATAGTTTTGAAAATTATAAAAATAACCAAATAGTTTTTTTTCACTTTTTATTTAATTTTTTCTGTTTTTTATTTCTTTTCACTATTTCTCATAACTATAAAAATATATTATATAATCTTTTTTTAAAAAAAACTATTTATTTTTAAAACACTATTGTGCAAATTTATAGATATGCATATTCGTAACTCATGGTTGATTTACATAAACATATTAATTTTTTAATAATATGATTTAATAGTAAGGATATTATTTTTTTAATCTATTTTTTTTTCAATCTAAAAAATAAAATTATTTAAATAAACCTAATTTTTGCACAAAAAATAAAACATTTAACATAGATTAAATTTTTTTTATTGGTATATTATTACAATATAATTCAACAGAATTTAGATTGTATTGTAAAATTAAAAAAATAATTAAAAATATACATTTTCTTTAAAAGGCCAAGTACAAACAGAAAGTAAAAAAAAATAGTACAAAATATTTTATAAAAAATATGTATATTTATCATTGCGAGAGTTTAACATTTCGTGATAATTTTTTTGAGATATTAATATCTAACTTTAGCAGGAAATTTTTTTTAATAATAATAAAAAAAATGTGCTCCAGTACTGGACTGCACCTTTAAAAAAAAAAAGATCGTCCTAGTGAGAATTGAGGCCTCGAACACATTAATAATCATCTCCCATCTTAAATCACCTGACCATCTAACTCATCCCCCTCACCTTTAGTAAACCATGCATAAATGTGGATAAAATCACTCTCTCGGTTAAAAATTCTTGGTGAGAACTAATCTTATATCTACTATCATGAAGCTCAACATCCTAAACACTAGATTGTACACTATATTTTAGTTTAGTAATTTTTTGAATCGGATAATACAATCTATAGTTTGTTTGTTCAATTTGTGATAAATTAAAATGTACTAATATATTAATTTTTAATCTATGCTAAATGTTTTACTTTTTTGTTAAAAATTGGTCTTTGGTCAAAAAATATTATTCTTTAAATTGAAAAAAGGATTCAAAAAACTAATATCATTATTGTCAAGTTATATTATTAAAAAATTAATATGTTTATGTAAATCAACCATGAGTTACAAATATACATATCTATAAATTTGTACAGTAGTGTTAAAAATAAATAGTTTTTTCTAAAGATCATATAATATATTTTTATAGTTATGAGAAATAATAAAAATAAATAGAAAACAGAAAAAATTAAATAAAAAGTGTAAAAAGACTGTTTGGTTATTTTTACAAATTTTTGGGGTCGTTTTTATAATTTTCAAAACTATTAGGGTATTTTTTATAATTAAAACTAACAGAATTCTGTTAATTTAAACGGAAATTGGCCAATTGGACAAAATCAGCCAACGATTAGATAGATTAGGGTAATATTGGCTAATCGAAAAAGAATAGGGTAGAATTAACAATGTATGTCAATGTTTGGATAGATCGGCCAATTTTTCCACCAAACATATATCAAAACTCCAAGATTAAAAAATTTCGTAGACTTTGCAAAATTATTTTTGTGGGACGATGTCCAAACTCCAAGAGAAGAGAACTTTAACACAATTTGACCTGGACTTGTAACGGGCCCATTCAATATTCACCCAAGTCGTATAGCCCGTTAATCTCAGCCGCAGCCTGCAAGCCATCGGCACGGCACACAAAAAAGGGCCGGCCCATTACATCCATCTTCTATAACCCTTTCTCTTCCGGTGCGGCAGAGAACAAAACTACAACAGCGGGGCGATTACAGTAAAATTCATAACAATGGCAGAGGAGATTAATGTGAAGAAGAAGTTGAAATTGCTGAAGAACAAGTTGAAGAGAAACAAAGCAGTAGAGCTTGAGCTTGGGATTGTAATTGAACTTTTGGAACGGATGCACAAAAAAGCTGATAAGGGTAAAACTCTTGATGTTGATGAAGATGTCGGAGAAACAAAGAAAACTTTGAAGAGAAAGAGACAAGAAAACCGTGAGATTGAAAAAGGAATTGAACTTCTGGAGCGGATGCACAAAAAAAAAAGCTGCAAGGACTGGCTCTGGACAGGGCAAAACTAAAACCCTTGATGTTGTTGACGATGATGATGGAGGAGGAGGAAGAAGAAAAAGGGTCACTGATGAAGGGCTTATTAAGCAAGGCTACTGTGTAGTTGATAGTGCCAAAAGATTTCTTCTTCTGTATTCCTTCTTGAAGATGAATTCGACCAAAAAAGTGATGGTTTTCTTCTCCTCATGTAACTCTGTTAAGTTTTACTCGGAGCTTCTTAGATACAATCAAGTAGATTGTATGGATATACATAGAAATCAAACGATCATCAAAAAGGGCACTACACTTTCTGATTTTTGTGAGGCCCAAAAGGGCATTTTGTTATGTTCAGATGCAGCTGCTCGAGAATTTGACATCCCTGTTGTGGATTGGATTGTGCAGTATGATCCTCCAGATGATCCTGATGAATATATTCGCAGTGTCGGGCGAACCCAAGGCGGAAAAGGGAATGCCTTGCTTTTCCTGACCCCAGAGGAGAAAGGATTTGTTGATCAATTCAAGAAGGATGGGGTGAAAGAGTATGGATTTGGTAATAAGTTTTTGAAAGATATGCTGCAATCTCGCCTGGAAAAGCTGGTGAGTAAAAACTATCATCTGAACCAACCAATTAGCTAGGAATGCATATCGATCTTATTTGCTAGCTTACAACTCACATTCCATGAAGAACGTTTTCGATGTTGACCAACTTGATCGCGAGGCTGTGGCTGCTTCCTTTTGTTTATCTTCTCCTCGTAATGTTAATTTACACGCGGATAACAACAATGCTGCCAAGTTTCGGAAGAAAATGCGAAGCCGAAGGTGATACATCTTGAAGTTCAGTGTCTTTGATATTACTGTAAGGCAGATTCAGTGCCTTTGATATTACTTTTAAGGTTGGTTTGTTTTTTCTGATTAAGCACTGTTATCCAGGATGTGTGTTTGATTAGCATAATCTTTCCTCTAGGTTGATAATCAAGTACTACTTGTTCTTCCATTTGGTTACCGGGATTTTGTTATTGAAACTGAATGTATGTTTGTTCTATCATAGCTAGATTATTCTAAGATCAACTAACTAACAAATCATGAACAGCAGCACCAAAAGAACAGAAGATTTCTCCTGCAAAGCTTGCATCGGAATGTTGTATAAACGAAATAGGATAAAGCATGTAAAAGATGTGGCCAAATAGGCACTTAGCAGAAAGTAACTTCCACACACTATAATTTAGTTATACACCACTATATAAGGCTACTAGAAGAGACCAAAAAGAAACCATTGCTACCTAAATTAAGGCACATATGTAAATACTAATACTCTCTTTTAACATTACTAAAGAACATCTAAAGTGCTCATGCTTGATGAGATAAAATCCTACTTAAGTTCGGTGTTGATGATGATGATCATCCTTAAAGTTTTTGCCATGCATTTTCTGGTCTGAAAATTCAATCAACTTTAAACTAAGGGATTTGTTGCTGATGTGCCATAGCCATTCATCAATCCTGTCCAGGAGGATGATCCCACTCCATTAAAGTAGTCGAAGTTAACTGAGTCTACCTGCTTGCCAACTTGATCAGATGAACATCCCTGATGATCATTCCATTCCAGAGATAAATGCTTCCCATTTGGCTTCACGTCCTCCTGATTAGTTTCATATGTTAGCATGTAATTAGCTCCACTATTGTTATAGTTACCGTCTAAATACATTCCAAATGGTGAGCAAAGGTTGTGAAAGTTCATTGGGCCACCCCCAGCCCCTCCACCCGGATTTATAATCCCGGCTGTACTATTGATCATCATGTCACCATTTAGAACAGAGCCCATTTCGCCATTTCCCAAGAAGTCGATTGGTAAAGTAGGATTATTGATATTCTCGAGCATGAAATTGTTACCAGGGTTTCCTAGGATTCTGTTGGTAAAGTGTGGGAAATGCATTTGGTCATGATGATTAGCAGCGGCAGCAGCATTAAGGAATGCTAGTTGAAGATGATGTTCAGTTGGATTAATGTTGTTGTTGACCACTGATGATGATGATCCTAGATTTTGTGGGGTAATTTGATCGCTGGATGATTTCTTGGAAGAATTACCTTTTTTGGTGTTACTGCTTTTCCTACAGCCACCACCAACAGGGATGTTGCGCAATGTGCCGCCTTTGGTCCAATACCTCCGACAAGTCTTGCAGAAATACCTCGGCTGAGATAAGCTGTAGTTGTTGTAGTAGCAGAATTTAGTGTGTGTTGAATCACACCTTGGACATTTCAGGGCTTGGTCATGTGGTGGCCTGAGCCTTCTTTCTGAGATCAATGCTACTCCTCCTCTTGATGATGAGCATGTGAGATTGAGCATTTCTCCACCAGCTGAAGATGGCGATGAAGAAGAAGAATCCAACATTCCTCCTGTCTCATCGTGAATTGTCCCCTGATGAGGTAAAAAAATTCCGCGCAAGTGTAAGAAACTCAGCTTCAAACTCAGAACCAATTGACAGTAGGAAAAAGAGAGTACATTCACTTTGAACTACCAATATAAGGCCAGAAAGACTATACGGAAAAGAGTCGTGTTTGTTGAACTAAAACAGTAATACAAAGGTCGGGTGAGTACTCGATCAACATTAGTAGCACTACAAAGTGAAGATGTTTTTGAAAAGAAATCAGATTGAACAGGAGTAGAATTCTCATGACAAGTGTTCTAAGTTAATCAAACTGACAAGTGACCATCTACAAACAGAATGCAGTACGTACCTGTAACCAGTCAGATGAATCCATGCAGACTTGAAGCGAAGTAAGACCCATGGGATTGAAAGAAGCTGAGATCATGAACAGACTCTTTTTAAAACCTTTCAGGAAGAAGTTAATTAAGACTTATCTTTTTTGTATTGCTAGAAGAATATCACATTCTCTAAACATTAGTCTACTCTGTTTTTATGAAGCAAAGAGATCAAACTCTTGTAAGCGTATCGAACAAGTGAGAATGGATAGTGATTTTTAGAGCCTGAGAAGCAAATGCTGGGGGTGGCTGTGATTGTGAATAAGAAGGAAGAAAAAGGTGACTGGTGGACCTGGTATTGTACCCCAATGGTGGGGACGATATTCTTTAAATAAAATATGCCAAATCCATTTTTGGTTTTCATTTTTGTTTCTTTTCTCTTCCTGGTTTCATTCTAATGGGTCTATAACTCTATATTCGAGTTAAAATCCGAGTGATCTATAGTCTTCTAACTCTGAATTCACAACTTCCAAAAAAAAAGAAAAAACTCTGAATTCAATGTGGTCATGATATTATAATGCAACGTTCGACTCTAAGGGTGCTACGTCAAAAACTAATATCGTGATTCAGTTGTGTGTCTGTTATTAAAACAAACATACTCGGTAACAAACATAATTCTTATTTTAGAATTGACTGAATGTCGCTGGGGTCACAGTGCAAGAAGCGTCGGTGACAAACATTGGAGCCGGTTTTGTACACACAATGTGCAGCAGTCTACGTCTGAGGTTTCAAATGGAGGGGAATATTTGGAAGTTCGATAAAGAGCAAGTAGAGAAACAATTGAGAGCTTAGAAAAAAAAAAAAAACCGAAAGAACACTCTATCCTTTGTGGGCCTAATTGATCATTTTGAATACCCAACATAAGGGACCCCTACCCTTCCTCTTCTCTCAAGCAAGGCATAGATTCTCTTCTCACGTGTCTCCCTCTATGTCCACCACGTGCACTTTTGTTCCTATTTTTTTTAAAAAAAATATATAATCCTTTTCAATTATGAGAAAACTGGTGCAAAATTTTTAATCACCATAAGAGTTCAATCTTAAAACCTAACATAATTACAGTCATTTTGGGATGTCTGTTTGTTCATTTGATTCAAGACCATTACTCCATTACTAGTGATTTGTGGGTGTTCCATCCATAATTATTTTCTGGTTTCATTCCTCCTCTAATCTGTTGAACCACAAGGACATTTCCTAAAAAAATTTCTGAGATTTTTCACACATTTCTTTTCCTATGTTTTGTTAACATTGTGTTACAACTTACAACTATAAATTTCTTTTATTTTTGCTACAAGTGTAAATGGCCTCGAATACGGTTTAGTGTGACTTCTGGTTCAAATTTTTTAAGTAGTCAAAATAGACTCTAGCTCAATCAAAGTAGAGTATTTGAACGAGAGAAAGGGTTAATAATCTCGAGGAAGACGATTAGACGAACTTTAAAATATTTAACTTTGACATAATGTATGTAGTCCTAGATGGATAGTTAGGGGATTAAAATGAAAACGGTTATTATTAGAAAGTCGAGAGTTTAATTCTTACTAAACTCGTCCAATTTTTTAAAAATCTTTTTTAAAAAAACTATGCAATCCCAAGAAAGAAATATATGCAATCATTAGTGCCTGCCCGCACCTAAGGCCAAGATCGTACATGCTACATGCCTTTAACTAATCTTTAGTAAGAAACCCAAAAAAAAAAAAAAAAAAAAAAAACTAATCTTTAGTATGGATGCTTTGATATTACCACTTTTAGACCTCCAAATTTACCTTGCTGAATTGGTTGCATCCTTCAAAATAAACCACTTCAGGCTAAGATATTGTTGAGGCTTACTTCGTAGGGCTTTCACTTCATTTATTTTTATTACTATTATTACTGGAATGGCTGCACTTGGGAGTGGGTGCCTGAGTGGTATACCAGTCCATTTGAGATTCAGGGAAGCACTTAACCCTTATGTTGGTTGCCAAACAGATTAAACTCCACTCCACACCACCAAATACCAACAACTCACAGTTGAATTTTACAAATCCTTAATTTCTTGCGCATATCAATTGCAGGGATCAAAACATTACTCAACTCATACATCCAATCAATTACACTATACAACAGCAATTTCAGCTTCAAAATCTGCTATGCCGCAGCCGGCAACCCTAATTATGGATCACCTTGCTTCTTTGCAAAGCTTTCAAAAAGTGTCATGCCTTGAGCATAACCCTTTCATCGTAGGTTTGATGTACATTGCCTCTGGTTTTACTCTTCAGATGAGGTAAGTGAACTAAACAAACCTCATTCAACGAAATCATCATCGGGTTGTATGACAGTCAATAAAGAATACTTCACCCTCAGCGAGATTCTACCCTTCTCAACCATCAGCCTGGCACCTGAAACAACCCAGTAACCAGGAGTTTCTTGTGGCCCTCTAGTCATCTCAGCTGTGTCAACAAACTTGAGTAGTCTAGGTGCTTGTACTGGAACAGGGGGGCCTCCTGGATAAACCGCAGAGTTTATGTTCACATCAGCCGGCTGCGGGGGTGGTTTCTGAACAGAAGTAAACCGCTGACTAATCAGAGTTGACAGAAGCCCAGATTTGCGGGCTAATCCTGGCGAACCATCCCATTCTGGATGCTTGACAACAGTAGCCCCCGTAACAGTTGAGAATCGAAGTCGTAAGAACAAAATGTTTTTGAAACCATAATCACCAACTTGTAACTGTGCTCCAGTAACAATCGAGAGATCCTCTTCAGATTCAACTGGAGCAGTACATACATGGGAGAAGTTCTTCCATTGAACTTTCTCAAAATACTTGCGATCATAGGACTCTTGTTCGAAATTTCCATTAGGATCATCCACAAGTTGGAAAATTTTGGGAAGAGAAGAGAGGTGTTGCAGGTGTATGGCCAAACGATTGCTTCTTTTACCTTCAAGATACAACCGCAGACCAGTGACAGGCCTTTTGCCAACATCAACCTAAATTGATTAATGAAGAATTACTATGGGAATGATATTCAGAGAAATGCAGAAAACTTCAGTTTCTTTCTGGTACTTTTGTAAGGCAATTCTAGACCCCACTGGTATAAAGAGCAAATTAGGAAATCAAATTGAACATAATAAAAGATAATACAAAGATATTTACCGGAGCAGTGTTCACATAAAGTCTGGGGCCCATTAGACTAAATTGCAAGGAAGCTGTACTTTGCTGCCTCCTTTGAGGACCAAGGGGAAGGTCACTGAACACAGGAGCCCACTGCCTGGGTAACTGAAATTCCAAAAATTGATGAAGTTCTTCAATAGGTGGTTTATCTGCAACCAGGAACAGGGAAACAAATAAATCAAGGGTCCAAGGAAGAGGCTTGAATTGAGATTAGAGAACTCTGGAGAGAATCTGGTGGACACTGTTCCCCAGGTTTTGTTCCACCCATTTTCTTTGGCATTTTACACACATTTAGATAAGCCACAGCCTATATCTACAGCCTTATGGAGCTCAAAGATTAACCGGTATCTCCAACGGCTAATTAAAGAGGACGACCTCTCCCCCAAATGATATTCTTTCCAAATAGGTTACAAATTTTACAAATCAAACAGAAAATAAAAGGAACTAAATCACAAGCATGAGATGAGATGGTAGATATACTTACAGCGCAAGTATAAATTTATGGCATGGCTCAAAAACCCACTTCCCGATACGCCATTTAAAAGTGATGTTATCGGAATGAATGACATTGATATCACATCAGGCTCTGACTGCACAGTTTGTAACCACTCATTATGGCTTAAGCTTCTCTTGTCACTTCCTCCTCTTCTTTTGCAAAAACTAACCATGTCCTGCAGTTCAAAATGTCAAAACTAATCATTGCTAAATAGATTAGCTGCTTGAAGGCATGAATTCAGACTGTAAATGAGACATACCTCCTTGTGAGAGTAGGAACTTGATGTTCCTGTATCAACGAACCTCAACCGTGTTTCCCTGGCCTCAGCCTGAAATGAGCACACAAAGAAAAAGAATATCATCAAATTGTTTTAGGAGATACGGAAGTAAAATGTTCACAGAAAAGGATGAAGAGTTTCATGTTTATCTCCATTCTGCAACCCACCCCAACTCTCCAAAAAAATAAAAATAAATAAACCCTAATAAGCAAGGGTTTTGTCAAATGTCTATGCAGACAACTTTATATTCGGTACAAGCACAGCCAATTGTGGAAAAAAATTGCCATTATAAGAGGTGTCATGAAATTAACAAAAAAGTGGTTGAATTTAAACCTTCTCATTGAGGTGTGCTCGATCAGAATCCATCCCATGAGGTCCAATTGCGTCCATAAACCTTTTATCTGCTATTGCCTTTAATCTCTTTTGCACATCAGCAGGTTCAAGGGATGAAGAATGCTGCTGTTTCATGAACACAACATCTTTTCCACCCATCTTCAGCCCCACAATAATATGGGTGCCAAATTTTTCAATAAACCTAGGCACATAAATAGAGGCGTGAGCATGATAAGAGCGTTTAGCTTGATCAAGATAGATTTAAGGAAAACCAAGCTTCAAAGATTGACTGGACTATGAAACCACTACTTCCCAACCATAAAAGGGAACAGAAAAACAAGTGAGCTGCACCTTGCCAATGCAGCAGGATCCCATGATGACGGAACTTCTTGCTTCACAGAATCAGACAGCGCCCACTGAGACTTTTCCAGAGCAACTGTATAAAGTGTAATAAAGACTCCATCAAAAGCAAGAGTTTTGGTGTAGGCCGCATCTTTCTGCCAGCAACCAGAAAACTCGAACATGGAATTGAAGAGTCCAGAAGGGATTTTCCCAGTCAATGACAAGTCCTGGTTAAATTGTTCTGACATCTACAAGAAAAGAAATACTACCCTTAGCATATATTCATTTGTAGTTGAAGTGGTAATTAGGCAGAAAGCCAATGATAAGTGGATACAGTGAAAAAATATCTCACTCCTTTCATAATGATTGAGCATTCAAAATCAGCAAAAAAAAAACAACTAAATATACAAATAGTGCAAGTGAAACAAAAAAGAAACCTTACTTGCTGAAAAGGCAGAACATCAGAGCTAAATCGAATTCGTTCCCCCTTATCACATTTGATGGATTTGGGCACATCAGGTATCATTATTCCACCTGGGAGCACAACATCTCGACCTTGAGTTTCATCGATTACAATCAAATGGGAATCCCCTTTACAGTACTTGAGTCTAAGATCCAAGGAGACATCATATCCACGCCCAATTGATTGAATCGCAACCTTTGCAGCCTCTGGAGATGACAGCTTAAGTGCCATCCCTCAAAACATCACTTTCCCAAATCAAAACCAACAAACCTTTAAATTCTCAGCTCCCAGTTCTCGTCACCAATTACTGTTCCATACAATGCCGGGTTAAACTAGATTTAACAACCCACTTTGAAGAAAACTAAAGAAAACAAGAAAATCCCACTTGAGCTGGAGGAAAGCGAAATATAAAAACAAACCCAACTCACTAGAAATTTCCAACCCTACAAATACAACTGACAACAAAAGAACCTTGTTTGGAACCAATTAAACTTCCTTAACAGTCTTCTGAAGCTCAGCTCAAACAAGAATTTTCTTGGAAGAAAAACCCTAGAAAGGGATGGATGTCAGCTTAGATCTAAGTTCTCGCGGGTTTGATATTCTACAGTAATTTTTTAAAAAGGAAAAAAAAATAGAATCAAAATGGAAAGGGATGGGATTTGGTTGGGTGAAAGACTTTAAAACGATTCGGTCTTTTCTGCGTATTGATTTTGGAGTGTGTAAAATTTGAGCTCATAAATGTCAACTGTTTTTGTCTGGATGACGGTGAGGTTTACGGGCATTGGACGGAAGACTGATGATGATGGCTAAAGAGTGACAGCTCTGTGAGTCTTTTGCAAGTCAAAATGCCACCCAATCTTACCTTAGGGGCGGGCGGATTGTGGACTGGTTGGATTGGGAAGACGTAGACGGTGGACCGTATACCTCAACTTTAGTCAATTGGTGGAATTGGTGTTTAATGTCGGAAATTCGAATTAGTCGGAACAACGAATATCACATAATAATAATAAAGTGTAATAAAGAAGGAGAATGTTTATATCACATATTCCCTTCGTCCCATAATTATTGTCCAATTTGATTAAGATGAAAGATTTTATTTTTGATCAAAGTTAATTATATTTTGGATTAAATGACCGGATATACCCTGCATAATCGTCTCCTCCTTTCTCAGATTAGCACCCAAATTCAAAACCAACCCCAATTCATTCTTCTTCTTCATCCTCGGATATACCCTGCATATTCAATCAAATTTAATAAAAACTTAAGAATAATAATTGAAGAAAATATAGAGTTTCATTCTTTTCATTTTGACAAAGGATGAACAAGAATATCGCCTCCGATGTGGCCATAAAGGCCGGTCACAGCCACCGTCAGAGAAAAGATCATATTCTATTTCTAGGCGTTTGTCAAGGCAAGAATCCACAATGAGCAACTCCGGGAGTGAAATCTTTTATGAGGATTCCCCTGTTTCTACCCCGTTCAGGTGGGAATCAGCTCTGAGAACACCTAAAGTTGACTTGGGCGAAAGGAGCCCAATGCCGCCGCTTACTCCTCTGCGGTCGTATCTTTCTAGTCCGGTTGTTGCTATGACTAAATTTATACCGCCGTGATTGGCCATAAGGCTGTCTCTGGATCTCGTCCCTGTTGATTCTCTTCCCAAGGCACTAAGATTTCTTGCTGGCCTGTTCAAAGCCCCGGAGAGTTCCTCCGATTCAAAATGCTCCGGTCTTAGTTATTTTTTTTACTAAATGGTAAATGTGTAATTTACTCAATAAAAAGTCAAATTGGACAATAATTTCGGGACAAATTTTTTTTGACAAAGTGGACAATAATTATGGGACGGAGGGAGTAATAATAATAAAATGTTATAAAGAAGGAGAATGTTTACATTGTGTAACAAAACTGGTATTAGACATTGTCATTCCTTTGACAAATTAATATAAACAATAATACTCATTTTGTCTCAAAATTATTGTTCATATTGGATTTTTACTTCTAGTATAATTTGAACTAAAAATGAAAATTCAACGTGAACAATAATTTTTGGATAAATGGAGTACTTCTTTCTCGCACAAAGTTTTTAAATTCGATGAGAATTATTATTATTATTTTTTTGTTTAGTAAGTAACTCAATTTTTTAGTGAGATCATTAACTTAAATATCACCAACCATAGGCAAGATAGAATTCGAGTAGATTGGAAAAAAAAAAAAAAAAAACTGGATTATATCTACTTTTGTGCTAATTTAAAATATCAAGTGCATAATATAGATTAGACATTGGCTCCGTCACGACGTGATCAGGGTAACTTATTCGCGAAGTGTAATAGTATAGATTAGGCCCTGCGGCCTCTCTCTTTGTACAATATAGATATATATATATATATATATATATATATATATATCAAGTGCTTGTTTGGTTCAAACATTGAGTGCAAGACGAGATCATAGTTTATAAAATACTCAAGAAACAGTAATAAAATGAGACTCGGTTTCATGCCTCTTCTATTGTAAAAAAAGAAAAAGAAAAAAAAAAGTTATTATTTTTGCAGAGGTTTTTCTAACATTCAAGAGGTTTAAATATTGTGCGAGATAAAAAAAAACAAGAGATAATTCTTGAGAGGGGTATGACCAGCTAAGTCATTCATTACTATGGATCGGCATGGATGACCAGAGCCTATAACTATAAGTGATTAAAAAGCCAACATATCTAAGCGAGATATCAATGTTGGTGAAAACATAAAAAGAAAGACAACAAATCATAGATATGGTAGTATTTGCAAAAGCCAAAGATCTTAAGGATGTTGTGCGAGATTTTCAAACATATCTATGCGACTATATCAAAAAGAAAAAGAAAAAAAGAAATGATATTCATCTCATTAAATTCATCCCACCCTTGCATTTTACATACACGTCAATTATTTATTTGGTAATTTATTTCCAACAATTTGTAAATCACTTCCTACTCTACATTTAAATAACTCAATGTAAGTGTTATATTTCTTATCAATATTCGTTCAATTCACGAATCATTTGCATTTATCGAAACTTTTCCCAAAAGGGTTTAATTTTTTTTTTGGAGTTAGGCTCTATTTTCATTTTAAAATTTTTGCATACATATGTATGTATGTATATATAAATAAACTTAGTAATTTCGATCAATAATTAAATATCATATAAAGTGGGATATAATAGTAAGACAAATCAGGTGAATTGTGTATCATTACATACTCCTAAATTTTTTTTTTTGAAATGGTGTAATTATCCACTTGTCTTTAATAGATTTCATCAAGAGATATAATACTCCAATTTTTAATTTTATCGATTTCATGAAAGTAGCTGAAATTGGTATTCATCAGTAATTCAATTTATCATCTTTATTAATACAAATAATTTCTTCCCAAAAGAAAGCAAAAGACAGTTGACTTATCAAGGGACTTTTTCCCAAAAAAAAATTAATTAAAATAAACGTAGACAAATTTGAATTTTTCAGAATATTAGTGGACAGAAATATATCTCTTGGATTTCCGAAATCCGAGTTCTGATTAAAATTAAGGACTCGGATTTCGTAAATCCAAGCTTATATTTATTAATAAAATAATATGAAATAAATTTTGTTAAATAATAATTTTTTAAAAATTCTTAAATGAAAAGTGCCGGTCGGATTTGCAAAATCCGAATTTAATTAAAAAATAATAAATTGAGGCGCGAAAAATTTGAACTCAAATAAGAAATCCAGGTCCTGGACTCCTTAAATGAACAGTAGTACTCGCATTTTCAAAATCCGAGTATACAAAAAGAAAAAAGAAAAAAAGAAAATCGCGGCGAGAAATTTTTGAATCAAAAAACCGGAAGTCTGTAATCTGGTTTTATAAATTCGGATTTTGGAAATTCGACTACCTTTAATTTAGGTTGGTGGAAGTAGCCATGTGCCATAAATTGCAGGACCAAAAAATGAATAAAATAATCCGAAATTGACCAAATTCGGATTCATGAAATCCGAGTCTAGTGTAATTCGGATTTCGAAAATCCGAGTTACTTACGGACTCGGATTTCGTAAATCCGAGTTTAACGTGCTATAAAAGAAAAAAAATTTCAGACAGTTCTCATTCGAGAACTGAGTTGGATTTTTGTTTTTGCAACTCAAACAAGGGCGAATTGGAGCTTTTGATGCATTCTTGCCTCTAGATACGTGGGAATCATTATTTGAAAGAGGTTAGATTGCAAAACTATGTTATTTAGTTTAGTTTTGTGTTATTTTGATTGTTAGAATGATGTATGATATATTAGGGTTTATGTTGGTCGGTTGTTTGGATATTTTAGGTGTTGATTTTGAGGTTAGAGATGAGAAATCATAGTTGTTCATGAGATATCGAAGTTGATTTATAAGTATTTTAGTATTTTATAGGTTTTTTGAATTATGAATGGAGTATGTATGGTGTATTTGTTGATTTTATTATTAAGAAATGATTAGTTATTGATGTTTTTTTTAACAGTTATCAATGGCACGTAATGTATCATACATGCTTAATTTGTATCATACAAGTAAGTATGTGATAGAGAACGGTAGCATCAATAGTTTTTCGAATATGCCGGATGATGGTTTGTTTGTCGAAGAAAGGTTGTCATATGAGGGATTGATTAGTAAGATTTGTATGACACTTGGTTGGGATCCAGCACACGTGAAACTCCACCTTTCTTTGATTTTTGATAGTCCCGGTGGTAGGCGTGTAGTGAAGATCAAGAATGATTCGCATGTAGAGTTCATGAATCGTGTAGATCCAATGTCATGTTTGGATTTATACATAGATTTGGAAGATATCACTCAAGAAGAAAGAGAAGCGAGTTTGGAAAACATGTCATTTGGTGGTTTTCCAAGGGGGGAACGTGCTAGTACTTCTCGAAATCGTGATGAAGAGGAGACACCTTTATTTGCACAAGATGACTACCGGGAAGAGTCGGATTCCGACTACATAGCTCCAAGTGAAAGCGAAGAAGACTGTAATGTCTCCGGAGAGAGTGATTTTGAAGAAAGTGATGATGAAAGGTTGGAAAATGAGGAAAAGGATTGTAATCCATTGCCCCGACGCCATGTATATAGTAAGATGGGGAAATGGGATGCCTCATGTGTGGACAAGGATGAGTTTGCTCTTAAGATGGGGGATGAGACGCCTGAAGGAATGGACATTGGTGTTTGTTTCAAATCTCAATCAGAAGCAAAGCATGTTGTGAAATTATGGAACATCCATCATAAAAGGGAATATACGGTCGCCGCGAGTAGTCGAAGAACGTGGGCTATGCGGTGCAGAACATTTAATGTGGAAAGTGAGGATGGTGAACCACCATGTGAGTGGAAGATGCGTGTGTCTTTGAAAGCTCACGGCCTTCATGAAATTGTGAGATGGCATGATGCACATAATTACATGACTCCCGTGAATGATAATGACAATCGGTGTGTGGACGCGTCTTTGATTGCTAGACTCATCAGGAGAAAGGTAGAAGACAACGTAGATTATACGGTAGCCTCGGCACAGAAAGATGTGAAGACCTTATTGAAAGTAGATGTGCCATACAAAAGGGCGTGGCACGGGAGGAGGAAAGTCATAGAAGCGGTCTATGGTGATTGGACCTCGAATTTCGAAGAACTTCCACGGTAAATATCAAGGTTTATTCGTGTATTGAAATATTTTTAGTGTTTTTTTTACATGTATTGAAATATTTTAACAATGACTTGTTGTTGTGTAGGTATATCGTTGCGCTTAAGTTTACTAATCCTGAGACTGTAGTAGAGTGGGAATGGAATGAGGGACAAGAAGGTTAGAACAGGGGAAATAGGACATTTAAATACGTCTTCTGGTCATTTGCACCAGTGGCTGAGACGTTTTTTGAATGTCCACCGGTCATTTGTATCGATGGAACCT